AGCAGAATGATGTCGAGGTTGAAAGACGTTAAAAATAAGCAACGGCGGGGTCATGATCTGAGAACGCCTAATCTTGGTATCCGTGTCATAGAAAGTGGTTCGCCTTCAGGCGCAAGGGGTTCGCCAAAATCCGAGTCGACGCTAATCCCTGACTCGCGATCTAGTACGCGCTGTCACCTGATGGTCCACGTGATACTCAAGACTGGGACCCACTCGAGGAAGGTAGGGCCGGAGTTTGCTCCACTCCCACAATCAAAGATTATTGAGAAATTACTCTACTCATCTTCCTTCTTACCTCTCGTCGACACAACCTCTCAAGATCACCCAAAACCACCTTCTTCAAACCAGCCAAAATGGAGAACGACCGCGGCGAGATTGTGGACCTGTAAGACTTCCATTAGGACATTTCGATATGGCCGCGCGAAGGCACAATTCATGATACTGATACGGCATCACCAGTTACGTCCCCCGCAAGTGCAGCGCCACCAACCGCATCATCAAGGCCAAGGATCACGGCTCTGTCCAGATCTCCATCGCCAAGGTTGACGAGAACGGCCGTGCCATCCAGGGCGAGAACCACGTCTACGCCCTCTGCGGTTTCGTCCGAGCCATGGGCGAGAGCGACGACTCCCTCAACCGACTGGCCCAGCGCGACGGTCTCCTCAAGAGCGTCTGGAGCGGACAGCGATAAAGGATTTCAATCTGTGGGGAAAAAGTTACTCGACAACTGGTCCTGAGATTCCTCGACATGGGAGTCTGATACGAATGGACTACAGGGTTTTGGGTCCGGGCACGAAGGCAATGGGTGAAAGAAACTAGGGTTGGCTGCATCTAGCAAATCCACTTCGAGGCGTTCGGCTCGATTTTGAGACAACATTACGATATCCCGAATATGTGTTTGAAGATGTGATGAACTGGTTATGCTCCGACATACGGCTAGCGAAGTCTCCTCGGACAGACTTCTCAAACCACTCCGAGGATTCTGGGGCTACTTTGATAGTCTCCGTGCCGCAGATTGATTGACTAGGCCTTGAAAAAGCCGTAGCGCTCAAGTCGTTTGCTATGGTACAGATACGGGTCTAACATGAACTTTTCAACTTGTGACTATCCTAATCTTGCGTGCAAATCGTAGACCAAGTGATCTGCTGCTGGCCAATCCGCTGTTCCACAACCTCTATCCCCAAGATCACAAAGGTCGGACTCGGCATTATGTAGATCCCACATGAGGCCCCAGCCAAGGAGGACTACTGAGTGCCCATACATTAACGGTGACATTTTCAAGCCCAAGGGCCAGAGAACGAGTTGATCTAAGCTCTTCTCTTTCCTTGAGGCTCATCTTCTGGCGGGTGGTTCAGTTTCGAGGAAACACAGAAGTGGAGTACCACTGGGCATGAAATCGACGTCACTAGAATTTGACTGAATCAAGGCTCGCTGATTCTCATGATCGGTTCAGAATTATATGCCAACAGCAGGCAGTAGAGTTCTTCGAAACAAACCGAACCACTAGGGTATTAATACATGTATGCTATCCAACTAACTAACAAACTCATACATTTCCAAATGACCCGGCCACTACTATCAGTCAATTGTTTGAATGCACCACGATATATCACTCGCCACTCGCAAGGCCCTCCTTGTATGCTGCTAACGCTCGCTCCCGACAGTCCTTATGCGTAACAATCGGTGCAGGATAGCCATTCTTTTTGGCTTTGGGTCCAGCGCCTCGATTGTATGGATCGTGGATAGCCTTGCTGTCAAGATCCTTCAGCTCGGGAACCCATTTGCGGATGTAATCACCATCGGGGTCAAACTTCTCGCTCTGCAGCAAGGGGTTGAAGATGCGGAAGTAAGGTTGAGGGTCAACGCCAACACTGGCGCTGAAACCCCATCCACCATTATTTGAAGCAAAGTCACCGTCGACAAGATGTTCCATGAAGTATCTTTCGCCTTTTCGCCTGCGAAGAAGTTAGAAGGGCGACCCAAACATCAATGCTTTTACTAAGGTAGCTTACCAGTCTAGCAAGAGATCCTTTGCTAGAAAACAAGCGACAATCATACGACAGCGGTTGTGCATGTACCCCAGATGGTTTAGCTGTCGCATCGCTGCATCGACGATGGGAAAGCCCGTTCTTCCCTCACACCAAGCGGCAAAATGATCGTTGTCGTATGACCATGAGATGTTTGAGTATTCGGGCTTGAAAGGCTTGTTCATGCTGCTCCTGTCAGTCAAATTTATGAGATGCTTTCATTTGCTTCACTTACCAGACATAGGGCCAATGGACCAAAACGTGCTTATAAAAGTCTCGCCAAGCAACCTCGCTGATCCAGGTTTGGATACCTTCATTACCACCGTTCAGTTTCTTCGTCTTGTTTCTATCACGTGCGGTCCGTACACATGTTCGAGCACTGATCGTCCCAGACGCCAGATGTACCGATATAGAAGAAGTACCAGCCTCAGCTGGGATATTTCTCTTCTTCTGGTAGTTGCCGATCATCTCTTCACAGAACTTGTCTAGACGCTTCTTCGCCTCGTGCTCTCCACATGGCCAAAGCGAGCGCAATCGCTCCTTTTCTTCGCCATCAAGCCGTTTGCTTTTGGGGGCATCCGGAATTTCAACTTTGAAAAGTTTCGCAAAGTCCTTTCGCGCACTGCTAGGGTTCTTCTCAGGTGGTTCGTATAGCTCTAGAAGATCAAGATTCTCATGAATGTGAGCAACCCATGACCTGTACCATGGAGTGTACACTGCGTACTGCTTCCCAGCGCCAGTGTGGAGTTCTCCTGGGGGGACGACGCAGGTATCATGGACGACTTCGAATGCCTTGCCATTCTCTGCAAAGTCCCTGATCATGGAGGCCTCGCGCCTCAATTCGTCAACTTCATATTCCATATTGGCGTATAAATGGCTGGCGCCCCATTCGTCCATGAGCTCCAAGATCCGGTCGGGAACACGCTTCCTCTTTTCAACCGTTTCCACGTACAAAGGAATATCGAGCTTTGCAAGATCATGCTTGATGACTTCCAGAGTTCGGAGCATGAAATCGATACGAACTGGTGACCTCAGGTGAGCCTCATAGTCTTGGGGGCTGATGATATACATCGCAATCAGAGGAACTCCTGCTTCTTTCGCCTTATCACTGGCCAGAGCCAAGGCTCTGTTGTCGGATAGTCGCAAATCCATCTTGAACCAATGGACGACGGCTTTCTTTACATTGGTGCTCTTGCGCTCCTGCGCTGTATCCTCCAGGGCACTGACGAGTACCTCGATTGGCCGTGGAAGCTCATTGTCGTTGTAGGCGCGAGCTCTCGCATTGCTCATTTCTGGGGGGTAAAATTTCCGGATCGCGATTCCATTCTCTTCGGCTTCTCCAGCCTTGTGATGAGGTTGGCGCAAAGCATCTGATGCGCTGGAACCGTTTGTTTTGGAAGTCTTTGCCTTTTTGGCTGGAGGCGAGGAAGACTCGCGTTTGGCTCTCTTGGGAGGCATTGTAGTGTATCTTGCGGGATGAAATATCGTGGTGCTTCTTACAAGTTGAACGCGGTTTGGTATGAAAGAATATCGCCAGGCTCTTAGTGGTGATACATGAATGCAAAGTCTAAGCAGTGACATGTGGAAGGTACACAGAAATGACAGACCTGGTCCCGTTTGTCTACTGATTAAGAAAGAGGAAACTTCAGGCCTCCCTTAATTTAATCTAATTAAAACTCCCCATTGTTTTGCTGCCACGGTAGTGCTATTCTGGCTGTTGAAAAGCATGGAGCCTCGATTTGAAGTACGTCATATGGTCCCTGGCGATCGAAGCTTACACCAAGCAGATCTGACATTCACAGATCTCGGATGTTTAGTGACTGGTCCGGATCCCTGATTGGCTGGTGGTGACTGAATCATTCTCAAGCCCGTGCTTCTTAATTTGAGTGCCGGGAGAAGCGGACGGTGCTGATTATGCACAGCGTTTTATTATCTTCTGGCTGTACTTCATTTGGTGATTTGGGTGCTGATATGACCGTTTGAATACCGCTCTGTGAAGTGAGTTTTTATGTACCGTGATTGGCTAAAGCCCGGGCTTCAATCCGGTAAACGGTGCTTGATGTTTGGTTTCAAAGTCACCTATTTCAGACCCAAATACTCATCAATGACTCTTACCGTCAATATTGATTGACAGGAGGAAGTCGGCAACTGGCCCTGGTCAGGGCTGTGATGTTGCACCTGCCTTCGTTCTCTACACTCTTCAGTTTTGTGATTGGCTGATTACCTACCTACTTTTGCAGGCAGGAGCGGTAGGCGATGGGTGCCTGTGCGCGTAAACCTCACGCGTTTACTCGTCACCGCGCTTGACCTTAATCACATCAACACCACAACACATAACGACGCTTAAGCAATTTACAACTCCTCACATGACTTATCATTCAACCAGGTATCAGCAAACCGATCTCTTCTTTCGCACAAGGCAGTGGATCATAATACGATTACATTGCCTAAGCTGGCCCCTGCTCTGACCATCTACCCGCCGCTCATATGAACTTGTACCACTTCACTCCAAGGCACTGTTATCGAATACGGGTGGTCGGAAGAAGTTGTGACTTCACATCGGACTTGACTCCTGTGTTTCAAGGGCACCTTGTCCTCGAACATTCACCTCAGTCCAATTGGATCGAAGTCGTGTAGCACCGGTTTGTCTTCCTTCGAGTGTCCTAGAAGCATCAATATCTATCACGTTGGTCAGAAGCTCCTGACAGACCTTCGGTTTTATTTGTCACCTCCTACGGGAAGGCCACGACTTCGCAATTACTCGAGGCACTTTCTGGTATCCCTATCGACTCTTTCTTCTGGAGGCTCCCCATCATCAGGTCGACCTTGACGTCGATTTCTGCATCAAATATGTCACAGAACAAGTCATGGCGGACCCTTCCGCTTGGTTCTACTCCAGATTGCCCGGTATTATTGGTGTCCTTCCAAACAGACACATCATCATATGCTATTCACGTAACTGATATGGCTAATATGTGGTCTGAATCACTTGATCGTAAGGCGATCTTTATGAGAGGTTGGAACGAGAACACTAGTATCGACCCTAGCGATACACCTGATAACATGGCCAAACTATTGGGCTGCCTCAATACCGCTCTAGATGCTTCTCAAGCAGGACATAATGAGGCGAGTATCCGTCTAGATCGCGATTCCCGGTCTGATGCGGGTGAAGATGACCTCGCCTTGAACATCACCTATGAAATACCTGGATTACAGCCGCTCAAGTGGCCCATGTATTTGAAGAAGCTGCCGCCCTCCAGCATCGCTACGCATCTTGTGCTGCCTTTAATTCAGGCACACCACACAAAGGATGTTGAAATCGAATTTCTGACTCGATCTTTGGGCAACAAAGACGCAGTCCTCAATAAGCTCCTGGACAAGCTGGAAGCCGTTGGTACAGGTATGGAGCATGTCTTTAATGCTTTGTCTGGGAAGAAGATCTCTAGAGCTGCGGCCGCGGAGAAAGTGCCTGGCCTTGCTCCTTTTGACCGTCAGCGCTGGAAGTCTGGTCTTGCGTATGATGGGGACTGCCCGAACGACGCCGAGTCCTTAGTACAACGCGTATTCGAGAAGGGAGGGCTACAATTCGAGCCTATAACTGATAGCGTTGAGACCCCTCGGTTGGACCAGTGGTGGCAAGATTTCAAGGGCGCGTCCTCTGTCGCACATCCACCCCAGTACAAAGCGGCTGCTGCGAAGGACAAATCTCCGACTCCCCAAGACTCCGAAAAAGCACATATCGAGCAAGATGATGATGACTTTCAAGTTCAGTCTACACCCCCACACCTACTGGCCAAGGGCAAATCAACGCATGCTACGAAAACACACTTCGCTGATGATGCGTCTACAGAGGGGGAATCCATAGCTTCGGCAGGCAGTGTACCACCAAGTCCTGGCACACGCAGACCGAACAAATCAGTTCGTAAGATAGGAACACTCGGTGGAAAGAAGCAGTCCACTCCACCTCTGTCCCCCATTCCTGTACAATCTCAGGCTCAGAAAAAGTCATTGAGCCAACAACACGATGATTCGGAGACAGCATCCGAGTCAGAGGATGATGATAAACCAGCTACTGCTGGAGTCGAGAAATCGGGTCCTTCAACTCCATCACCACCACGGCCAGCCGCAAATAGAAGCGGCCTTGGACGTATAGGAGGCAACAAGACGAAGCACCTAATTGAAGAACAGCCAGTAACCCTTAATCCCGAAATGGGCGAGCCTAGCACGACAGCAGTTTCTCATCGTCAGTCCAAGAAGTTAGGTGCCATTGGAAAGCATAAAAACAACACAAATGAAGTAACGAATACGGCGAACGAAGACAATCGAAGGAGTCGCACCACTACCAAGGAAGTCACAGAAGAGTCTAGGCCCAGGGAGACCTCGCAGGAAAGGGCGGACCGAAGGCGAGAGGAACTGAAAAAGGAGCTCGAGAAGAAAGCTGCTGCTGGTCCTGCTAAGAAGAAACGAAGATTTTGATTACATATTTCCTACTCGGAGTTGCAGGTTTAACCGCTGGGCGATTTACTGTTAACATCTTCCGGCACGATAAATACGGACAATGCAATGTCGATTCTGGCAATTCATAATACATCCTTGAAGAATAAACGAATATTGATGCATTGGCAATACGATCTTCTCAAAAATGAATGGGCGATCAACACTATCTAGAAAGACAGGTGTCTTCATGTACTGGCTCATTCCAAGAAGGTGTCCTCATCAGACGCCGGAGATCACTTCAAGCATCTGATTCAAGGCTCTACATCTTGTGGCAGTTCAACATTGATCGGGAATCAGCAGATGGGTGTTTTGAAAACTTCAGTTACGAATTATGTATAACATGAGCATGCACTGCGCCTATCCGGCTGCACAGGACGCCATCGATGCAACCTCACAAGTTCATGCTGTGAACACCGAGGAAGACCGTTTCAGTGGAACCGGCAGAAGCCATGATAGACACCCCTATCTATCGCCTCTATGTTAATTATCATGGTTGATTCGCCGTCTACTCACATGCCATTGCTATTCATCTGGCATTCATTGACACCACAAATGTCGGCAGTTTTCATGCTGAAGCGCAGTATACCCATTCATGACTCAACAGACGTCCATGAAAGAAGCAAGCGCAAGCTCCGATATTGAGGGATCTTTATGCAGATCTCCCCATTCATCGGCGGTTATCCCAATGCAACAGTTGATATCTATCCAACGAAAGATTGACGCAGTCTAGTTGCCTCCAGATCGTTGATCAACCAAGATCCCAGCATATGTTGGCACAGTCTCTCGAAATTCAGAAGCTATTTTTGATATGAAAGCACGAGGACGTGGTCACTTGCAAGGCAGCAATTCTCAATATGCAAAATCATAAGAATCGTATGATTGAGGCTTGAAGAGGCGCTCTATGGTGTACGGCTGGAAGGCGCTGAAGACACTCCTTCAACCTCCAGGACACCACACTTGAAGAACCACCACGTTCAGTCATGGTGTGTCGAATTGACTCGAGCTCATTGGAGAGATATCAATACATTGTGTTGCGACTGAGGGGTCATCTACAGCACCCTTCCGCTAAACCATTGGATGTAATATGGAGCCCATACGCCATCTGTCACGCGGCAGTCGCACATAACGGTAATGCATCAAACAGACGAGATTGTGGCACTCACTTTGAGGTGCTCGTGGACATGAGGCAGAGGATCCATGCTCAGGCTCATGGGCTAGCGCAGCAGCAGCCAAGAAACGCCTCTAGGAGTGTGCCTATGCGCAACCAACGAGAACACATACTAAACGTGGAGAGCTCCGTAGACCATGCCAGTGTGGCATTACGAAATTCATTATGGCAAGGGTCTTTTTACAAGGATCAGCAATGTACACCCCGATCATTGAAGCCAACAGATCAGATGCTGGTCCTTGCGATAAGTGTTACTTGACATTGTGAAGAAAGTGAAGAAGAGAGGGAGGCAGGGAGGACAGCTAGGACAGCTACGATGATCTCAATGATGGATAAGCTGTGGCGAGCTAGCTCCAATATCAGCAGGGCTGATAGGATGACAGGTCGCTGACATTTCTGAGAGCAACCGTGTCTTCAGGATAAGCCATTACTACCCTAGCTGCCGTTGCAATCGCGATAGCTATACTAAGCGCAGGCTTACTCGGAATACTTCCGGCTCAGAGAGATAACGATACCAAATGGAGAGTCTTGAGTCAGAATGGATGATTCTCCAGCGATGTCTTGACTCTTCAATTGTTCCCTTTGGCTTCGAAAGTGGCTCAACGACTATTTCCAGCGATCAAACCATTACCCAAGGGCTTGACAGGGCGCATGAGTTGGACGTGTTGGCTCAGCTCGAATCGTTGTCGCGATCTGGAAAGTAAATCTCCCCAGATCGTAATTATCTCGATAGTGGATCAGGTGGCTGCAAATGCTTGATGGATCGTACCAGGTACCGGGTTGCGGAAACTGCGTCCGCCAATTGATGTGTCTCGATCAAACTGGATGGTATCTGCAGACTGGAGCATGGCACAGCGGAACCAAGATCGACGATTAGCCGGCTAGGATCATGGCTCATGCCCTTGACGAACCAGGTTCCACAGTTACATTGATGTGAGGCAAGTCTCACAAGTCACAGCGTCCTCTTGGTGTCTTGGTCGTTTGCAGCGATTTTGCCCATCGTTCCACTGCGGCACTTACTTGGTATATTTTTGGTCTTTGCTGCCTTCACACAATAGCCAACTCAGTATCATTCGTGCCCGTGATTCGTTGTTCTGCTCTTGTTGAGGACTTTGAGAGCAGTTCGTGGACGGAGCAATTAAGTCCAAAACTGAAGAAGTGCATGTCAAACAACCTCAACTTTGAGCAATTGGCAGATGCGACGTCGGTGACAATAGGTTTCTGGACTAATTAGGCCTGCAGAGTTATGCGACCACCATCTCTTGGATACGAGATACTGCTGGTTTGCATCGTTGGTGGCTTTTCAGGGCGCAATCGACCACGCTTTGCTCTCTTTTGGAACAAGATCGTCTCAGAGGATCAAGGTGCGTTGCCGATGACTGTGAGTATTGAATATCTATCTCATGGTCAAGGCTACGTAGCTGAGAGCTTGCAAGCCATCCCCAGGAGTCTGAGGAGGTGTGGACGCAGCTGCTCCTCACTGACTGCACCACAGAGATGTGGTGTTATGTGCCCGCAGATCACGAACTTGACAGGGTCCTGCTTGAACTCTCAAGGCCGCTCTGAGCTGTTGGGAGTACCTCCAGTGTGAACGGGCTCAGTCTATTCAATTTTATGACTACGTACATTACAGTACAGGCCTTTTCCCGCTTTTGGCTATAAGGACGAACCATGCCATGGCCTGACAATAACAAGCTTAAATATGGATGGACGAGGCTTCAGGGCCAACAAAAATACACACACGCATACTAAGATTTAGAGGCTAATTCTCTCCCCCACTCGGGATCTCCTTGTCTCAACCTGCATTGCATCGGCTGGGGCGATTTTCCTCTCTTCTAGTGAAGCACCAGTGAAGCTACACTACAGAAGACACCATGACACCAGAGCGTGTATGCCCAGCCCCGCTAGTCCTTTCATCGCCAGCCATAGTTGGTGCAGAACGCCATGTTCCTATTGTCATTGCTGGCTTCAAAGCTAACTTATTGTTAGCGCCCTCTCTTTAAACGTTGAAGCATATCGGCATACGTAACAAACGCAGGGGCGTTTTGCTTTTTCTGTTTTGATGCGAGACCACTCGTGGAAGCAAGTTAGAGCTTCCAAAGGGTCTAAGTCAGTTGATGAAGACGACGACAGCACGGGCTTGGCCAGAAAGACTAGCTCTCTCTCTCTCTCATCGATGACGACCATGCCGGCCCGTTCCTGGTTGGTGGTTGAGGCAACTGAGCTGTCATTGTCAGGGATGAGTGATGCAATGCCAGCGGCCGCTATCGTCAAGCTTAATGCAAAGGCCGAGAAAAGACGAGAGTCCGTGGGTTCTTGATGTCCATTGTAGCAATGGGACATTTTTTGAGCCTCGCCTCGCGACGAAGGTTCTTTTTCCTATGCCACCGAGACTTTCCCATTCATTCCTCCTATACCATATACAGTACGTTACAGCACAGCACAACACAGCACAGCAACGCAGACAGTACTGTGCAATGGGAAGTTGCATCCAATCCTTAGTTACAGGCCAGACTTTCAGAGCGTGTTGGTTCTCAGCGCCTGAGATATGAGCCCGCAATCGACAAAAAGTCTCAACAACATTGTTTGGGCTTAAGATGTCTAAGGCCCCACACAACCAGCTAGCTATTCATCCATCCACCCATCTATCTATTCATCCATGGCTAAATTCAGCTGAAGAACTGGGTATGAAATTGGCTCTACTGGCAAAGGACAGGACCAGAGGACCCAACAAGGGGACCCTAACTCCGAGAGACGATTACAAGGGTGTTGAGGAGAAAAAGAAAAGCCCGAAGCAAGAGACGGGCGATCATGTGAGACGCCAGATGAGGCTTGGCAAGACAGAGGAAGATTCGGGGTCGCTCTCTCGTCTATTGTTGCAGACCCCGAATTACCGCTTAGCTGTTGAGAGTGTGGCTGACGTTGATGTACTGTAAGCGCAGTCCAACCCAGCCCAGATCTAATAATACTCGGCAGACGTTGCACTTGTTTTCTACAGTGTTTCTTTGCCGTGTCTGAAGCATTGTATAGAGGGAGTGTGAATGGCAGCGGGGAGCGCAGAGCAACGGCCCGCGCAGGGCGCTTTTGACAAAGAGACTTACCGGCCCGGACACCGATAAGCACTTGGTTTTGTGTTCAGTTCAGTTCAGTTCAGTTGGTCTCCAACTACGGTCTGGGATCGATGCATGATGCATGCTTATCCCAGACCAGAAGTGAAGTGGAGATTCTATATCTCCCCATCCCACTCTCTCTCTCAGATCTGAGGCGTCTGTGCGATGAGGCTACTACTGTACGGAGTAGTATTGAGATTATTCCCTCTCAATCTCCGTTAACTACTCTCTAATTATTCCCTCTTCAGGGATACGCACACCCCGCGCAGCTGCTCGCACACTCTTTAAACTAGGCAATGCTGGCGTCTGGGCTCCTGGCGATCATGACAACCCTCACAACGTAGCCGACAGCCCCCGGCCCTTCCTCCATGATGAGAATAGCGCAACTCAGTGCGAACGAGACGAAACGATTTGACAGGGAACTAGGATGAATAGAAGAGAAGAGGGAGGGGCTCCCGGATCATTTCCTGTTGGCTCAGCTTCGTTACCAGACTGTCGGTAACCAATGATATTTCCGATATCAAGCTCGACAATGGGGGCCTCATGAACCTTGCTTATTCCCCACTCCCACTAGGAAAAAGCTGAAGTAGCCAGGCCAGGGCAAGGAAAAACAGGGTCGAGCGGGGAGACGGTCACGGACACAGCAACCAGCATGGGGACGACATACGCACAACAACTTTCTTCTACTTCTGCTACTCAAAGTGAATTCGATTTGCTGCTGCCCAGGCAGATGCCAACACTACTTCCGGGTCAGCTTCATCGTTCAAGATCGCAAACCTGAATGGTACACACCGCAAGGGCCAAGTCTTGACAACATTCACAGTGGAGATACACACCAAAACCATTGAGTTTAGAGTTGCATTGTTTCGTATTGTCATTTTTCGCAGATCTACAGATGCCTATGTACAAGCTGTGCGTAACGCTTCTCCAAATTCCATCTTTTTTGCCTCTATTGTGAGGCACTCCCGTCAGCCATGTTTTATGACAAAGAAGGACTGAATGAATAAAGAATTCAACGACAATACAAGTCAAAGACTTGCCTGGTATTCAGGATGGCACGTAGCAACAAAGGCGGTTGCAAGATGCTCTTGGTATTGGTGCCGGAAGCGGCATGAAAAACAGGCGCTTGTAAGTAGCATGGTTGACACATACAGAGTACAAGATGGGGGGGATAACGAGCTAATTATGATAATGGATAAATAATAAATACATCAACATGCTTTGGGAGAAGACGTTTCGCTCATCGACCCCAGTGATCGCCCGCCCAGCCAAGCAAGCAAGCAGCCAAAATAACAAGGGAAATGATGCATCTTTGTCGGTCCTCGGGGAGCAAAAGATGGAGCGCATCGTCTAATCAAAACGGATAGGCCACACAAAGAATAACAAGGGGAAAAAGAAAAGGAAAAGAAAAAAAAGGAAAAGAAAACAATGCCTAAACGAAATGAGAATCGAGTCTAAATCTCCTTCTATTTTGAGTACCCTTTTTTATGCGCCGCTGCGACCTAAAAGTCACAGTAAGAATACTCCTTGTAGTAGTAGTAGAGACGACAAAGGCACAATGCAATGCGACATTGTCAACTGAGTGCCATCATGCGGGCAGGCGGGCGTTTCTGTTCTGCTGTAACCCCCGCCTTGGAGATGATAATGCCAAGCCCAAGGCGGCGAACGAGCTACCATGACGATGACTTGTTTCGATGTAAACATGCCCTGACCTTGTTCTTGATCAGTCAAGACAGACAGCTGGGTCGACAAGAGTGACAATGCCATAGCAGTCAGCCCCAAAAGTCTCGGCGTCTCGCGCTCAGCCCATGACCGCGAGTCTATGTGTTCGGATGCAAGGTGATCCGCCCGTGACCGCCAGGGTCTGTGTGGGGTCCAGCCTAGTGAGTTGGAGAGTAGAGTTAAGTAAAAGGATGAATGGGGTAAGGTGAGTCGAGGTAAACTGAGGTAAAGTTGTGTTGGTGGTGTTGGTGGTGGTTCTTCTGTCTAGCTCACAACGTCCTCCCCTGTTGCTTGAAACTGCCACCATCTCTCTTCCATCCTAGGGCGTCGAGTCGATGAAAAGAATAGGAAGCTGATTTGCTTTTTTTCCAGAACCACTCACTCACTCACTCACTAAACTTCACCCCTCTTTTTCGCGGTTCCCGCGGTAGCGCAAAGGTGCAGATAAGCAGGCTAAGTTTGGTCGATATCTCTGGAGGAACACCAATTTTCATTCTTTCTTGTTTTTTGTTGTCTTTTTCTGTTATTTTCTTTTTTTTTTTTTCGTCTTCGGGTCTCTCTTATGTATCGTCTCATCCGTTTCATTCCCCAGCCAGTAAGCCCGTTGTTGGTATAATCAACCACTACGGCCCTCGCCGGCCGCCAACAGAACTGACAATAGGTGACATTGGTGGCTGACACTTGCCTCGGGGTGTTTAGGACGGAAGATTTCCATATTCAGAGTGCCTGGCCGTTCCAGCTGTAGACGTCGTTAGGGCCGATCCCTATGAGGCGTTCGTTGACTCCGTCGCTAGCACTAGCACTAGCACTGACACCAGCGCCAGCAGGGCTATTGTGACCGCTGCCTTGATAGACACCTGTGACGTCTACCATCCCATACGGATATTCGCACGGAGATGAACCAACGTACATGCTTTGGGTGCCACTAGGCAGCGTATACGCGGTAGTGCCGTTGCTGTTGCTGGCGCTAGAGTTGACTGTATGCGCGTGTATTAGGCTCGGCTCTGGAAGCACGAAGCCAAACCCACTCGAGTCGGGTGTCATTGGAGAATACTCCTGCTTGATGACTGGTTGAGAATACTCCTGCTTCATGACTGGCTGTGGCATTCTGCCGACCCGTGGCATCATCAGCTCCTCGTAGCCTCGGTGCTGTGGCTGTGGTGACTGATACATGCTCGGCATCGTAGTCGCTCGGTGCATGGGATGAGGATGAGGGGGTGCGATGAAGTTGATATGGTGGGACCTCGGTGCCATTTTCACTTCATGAGGGTATTGACGTTCGCGCATCCTCATGTCGTTCGTCATGAACTCGCCCTTGACAATTGAGCTTCCCTTGGCGGCAATTGGGCTGTGTCGCTGTGAAAATCTGTCATCGTATGGGTGGTGATGGTACTTGCGCCCAATTCCTCGACGTGATGTGTTTTTGCCGCGGTATTTTGTTGTGCTCTCAACTCCATTGAGGACAGCCCAATCCTCCAACACCCACTCCGTCGCCTTTTTAGCTTCACCAGTTTTAGTCGAGCCTGAACCCTGCTCCGTTGCTCTCGACGCCGAGTCTGACCCCAGCTTGTGTTCTCGTTTGACAAAAGCCTACCATCAAGATCCACTGTTAGCTTTCATCGAACTCTTTAGCATGAATGATTCGTCCGAAAACACAACAAGCGTTGGTCCATGTACATATGCAGCTTATGCCGCAAGCTATACCCGGTAATAGCAGGGGGGGTTATGGAAACGAGATCTGAGACAGGAAATCCTGGAGAGTGTATGGCTTGAGGGCTGTTCTAACTTACATCATTCATACTCAGGTTGTGGCGGATGCTGTTCTGCCAGCCTTCGGCATTTTTACCCGGTCTCTTCTCTGACTTGTCCTTCTTGATGTCCTTATCAGTGTTATCACGAAACCACTGGTAAATCTCTTGAAGGGTCATAGCATGATCCGGAACGCTCATCAGAGCTCGGTAGAGCAGCTTGGCGTATGGTTCATCTGTCTTGGCGCCACCAGCAGTTGTGGCCTGAAGGTCCTTGCCTTCTTGAACCACTTCTGAGCTCGCGCGGTACTCCGGTACACCGGCGGGTGATTCATGTCTAGCTTTCATGAGCACGGGGGTTCCGAGAAGAGGTTCTTGCGGGGATCCGCTGCATGATAGTGCTCCAGCTGATGAACTGGGAATTGTCACTGGGGAGTAGTTTTGGGGCAGGCCATCAATCTCATTATCGAAAATCTGATTCATACCGCCACCGGAGAAAGGCGTCAGGCCCCGAGGGCCTCTGAAGGGGTATCCTTCGTTTGATGTCGGTGTGTAAATGCGGAGGTTCTTGAAAGAGTTCTGTTGGAGAGGATCTGAAGGTTGAGATAGAGGGAAGTCTGGAGAGGACCACGTCCTTGGTGAAATGGGTGATGGGTTGTAGCAGCTCATTGGGGCACTGCCACTGCTTGGGGAACTTTGGTAAGAGTAGTTGTCATAATCGTCAGGTCCTGGGGGAGGTGAAGGCCAGACTGGGTGATGACTTCGAGGCGCATATGGAAAACCTGAAGTCATGGAAGCATACACAGTCGCATCATGAGCCGGATGTGACGTCTGCTGTTGGTCCTCCTGGTGCTGTGACAGGGTTGGGTCTAGAGACAGCGGACCAGTTGATGATAGATGAGATGGTTGATCCTGAGGACCCGAGGAGAGGGCAAAGTATGGCTCCATACCGGTGAGCTCTGACACGCAAGGTGATTGTTGACCGTGACCCGTGATAATATTCGTGTAGCTAGAAGCTTGCTCGTCACCAGAAAACGGTGTATCCATTGCGGCCTCTGTTGAAGTCAAGGGCACTTGTTTGGGAGGAAGTACAATAAGTCGCGTGGGTGGTTTGATGGTGTTCTCGGAACAAGGAGATTTCTTTACTCAGGTACCAAGCAATGGGAAGCGAGGTGAATGAGAGATGTTGATGAACAAGTTGAAGAATGGAGGGAGAGAACGGAAGATAGCAGAACGTTACAATAGACACAATGGGACAAGGACAAGGACGGGGGCGAGGAAATATGGCGATATTTGATGCCGAAGCGAAGGGTGCTTGTGCTCCTCCCGCTCGTTTGGGGTAGGGCGTGGAGTTGCAGGGCTAGCTTTTAGACAACGGCTTCGTTTAGACGTCGATCCGTTGATAAACAAATGCCCGTTGACAGATTCAGCAATCTTAGCTTTCAGATCTCCCATCCACCCTCATCCGTCGAAGCTTATGGGCAAGGACCTCAAGATCGTAGCCAAGGTCGCTCGGGGGGCGTGTGCCAAGTGAAAGGGCGAAGGCCGACCAACAAGCGCCTAGCAAGCCATAGTGGTCCGTGGCAGACAAGGAAAACGGACAGGGACGCCATCTGTAAGCCACCCCACGGGCGTAGCTGATCACTGACGGAAAGCCTCCCTCATAAAATGCATTTGTGTTGTAAATGTGTGCCTGTGCTTGTGTTTTGCTGGCTGTGTTTTGTGTGTGGCCATCACCAAAGTCCAGAAGATGTTGGGCGCGAAATGAATTCCCACTAGGGTTTTCTGCCTCTGCCACCTTTGTCTTCTCTTGTTTCGACTCCAGTGACGTCTATGAGCCCTGCCTACCTGTAGGAAGAGTACCATGTCCAGCAGGCAATATCAGTCACCTCATACGCCATAGGCGCATGCGCTCAGATGCCCCGGTCTTTGAAACTGAGTTCAGATATTGTACTATGTAGGCTCAGTACTTGCATGAGAGGAGCAACCAGGCAAGGATGAGTGAGCTACATGCAATGGGTGATTGCATCAAGAATGAGATGGTCCAAGGGCCCTGATCCAAGGTCCCGAATAGGACGTGAAACCTTAGAACGAGTGCTCCTAGCAAGAAATGTGCCGATATTCGTTGGTTCAGCCTGAGAAACCTTGTGTTGCATGCCCCTTTGCGTATCGTCAAATCTTCCTTCTCTTCTGTTGAAACATCCCTCCTGGTCTCATCAGGCAGACCTGGTATGTATCGGGACCGAGAAGCATCACACCCTGTAAGGAACACGCTACCAACGGGCTTCAAGTCACTTGACGGTAACTCAACCGGCTTGTACTCTCATCAACGGGGCTATCGCGGGTAGTCTGCGTCTCAGACGGCACCTTGCATTTCAGACGATACGAATCGGGACACCAATCTGTATGCCAATCAGACCGCCAATCAAAGCATCGGTGGGTGCCCGTCCCGTTTGGATCCCCGTTATCCATCTGTTGCTGTTGTGAATCAGTATGGAAGCTGCCGGAGAAGCCGTCAGAAGCTTTCTGAAGCATAAAATCACCACTACTCTGCGGTCCGCTGCGTCAAAGAATATGCATAGAACAATCTTTCGAAGCTTCATCGACGGGTATCCGACTAGAAATCAGGACTCAAGGCATCATCAGGCTTGACGCAGCTGTTCTGGCTGGTGTTTGCTGCAACCAACCCTCTTGTCACATCTCGATTGCCCAAGCTCCGCGTGGATTTCACTCAAAACATAAACGTAAAGATGCCCGAGCGGTTTGGTGCTGTCTGTTCGCCCCGGTCCGTGAACGCTCGCAAGTGACAGCTTTCTAGAAGCCTTCTGATGCAGTAGGCCTGATGACCCGAGTTTGCATGCAAGAGTCATCGCAATTCTTGTGACAATCAATTGGATCATGGCTGCAGCAATCTTTGCTGATTTGAGGGGCTGTCTGCTGGGAAGATGTGGAATAGGGACATAAGATGTAATTCATGCCTGGTCTGCGCAGGTTCTCAAACTGGGTGCTCAGGTCGGGTCGATGGTCGAATAGGTATTAGGTAGCAGGACACTACTCCAGCATCGACTCAACCTCTGCCCACTCTAGCTCTCTACCAATCCCCGCTCTGAATCCCGAATTAGAAACCCTCAAATGGGTGGTACAGATGTATCAATGGACATGTCCCGGGTAGCGTAGACATGTCGAATGCTAATAACAACAATCATGATGCAAGCCTTATCAGACAGGGCGGATTGGTCCGCTCTCCCGCGTGAAAACGTGCATTTTTGTCCTCTCCGATACTCAATCTCAACGGAACGGGCGGTGCAGAAGCGGGCTTGCCTCCCCTTTTCATTAGGTGGTGGCCCAGTTTGGCTCTTGCTAGGCGAGGACCAACACAGCTTAGATAGTGAGTGATCGATCCGGAACTACTTCCGGTAGTAGATCTGGAGAAACGTGTTAGTCTAATCGAACAGGCTGGACCAACAAATATGGTTTCGAAGTCATACCTTTTTGAACTGAAAATGCAGCTGCAAGATACCCTGTTGAGTGTGCATGGTTAGCTTGGTGGGTTCATGAGCATGTAATGGAGGGGCGATGGCGTCTAATAGCATGGGAAAAGTAGGCTGTCACCAACGCAGACTGTTCTGGGCTGCATAAAGTGCAGTTCATCCAACGGCCAAGCCATCGTTGCAATACGAACTCAGGGCGGCCAATGCAGAGGCAAAGAATCTGCCCTGCCACGTGAAGTGAAGTGCAGGGGTCCAGATGAACATACCTTGTCGAAGGAGCTCTTGAAGCCTCGATCCTTCTTGGCGCTATAATCCCACTCTCGGTCAACAATGCGGAACGCAATATCTTCGTATGGAGGGCCTGCCATGAACCGTATCAGGCACGTGTCCTCCTCACCAGCAGCAGCAAATGATTCTCCACGTCTACGGCCATGTTCTCGAATGATCTTGAAGGTTGGTGCCTTTGTCTTGTCGATGAGCTCAGGATAGAATATGTTAAACTTGTAACCTTGAACAACCTTGGGTGGCGGATTATCGTGGTCGTAATGAGTCTGATTATACTTGTTCCAGTCGTAACCCATTTGGACACGATTGAAATAGCGTGGCTTCCGGGGTCTATATTTGTCTGCCCATTGAGGCTTAGTAGTGGTAACAGTCTCTTCGCTAGTAAAGATCTCCTCGTTCTCGTCGACGCCTCTGGCAACCTCTCGATCATACAGTGCTTTGGTTGCCTGTGAGAAGTCCACATTGTCAACCTGGGAAAAGCGTTCAGTCCCTGGAGGGGCTGATGTGCCCACATGCATCGAGGATGAAACGGCTGCAGGGGACGCCTTTTCTTCTGAAGCTGATGCGACTGGCTGAGAACCAAATGTAACTTTGGGGGCAGAAGTCGGCTGGCCCGATGCCTTGACCTTGGTTGGATCACGCTCCTTGAGTTGGCTAAGACGAGTCTCCTTGATTGTTTCGTATACTTGGTTCAGCTTGGCACGAGCTTTCCACACTCGGAGGCTTCGCAGCAACTGTTCCCAGTAGTCCGTGTCGATATCCTCGTTGGACTGTAGCTTGGCCTTGATCTGCTTTTCTAAGGCCTCCAGTTGGTCATGCGTCTTGGGAGCAAGGATCTTGTCGATGTCGTCTGAAACACTGCTTACAACCCTTCTCTCGTGGCCGTGCGGATCTAATTTCGCCTTCCTATCTTTACAGATGGTCTGCAGCGCTCTCCAATATTCCCGGTTGGTCGCATTGGTTTCAAGCACGTGGTATGAGGCGATATCGGATTCCAGCTCAGCAATCTGCTCTGCATCAAGCGAGGCAACAACATCTCCGGGTGCGGGAACATCGATTTCGATATCAGCATCGTCGTCGTCGAAGATATCGCGGTCTGTATCGATATATCTTAGGTTGAATGCCAGGTAATCGATGGGCTTCGCGCGGCCTTCCCGAATTCGGATATCTGCCTTCTTCTTGGACTGCTTCAGTACGAACTTGTCCTCATCGGCAACAAATTGTCGTGATTGCTCATCTTGAGTCAAGTACTTGGGGTTGATCTTGGAACCACTTGGTTTGGTGGATTTCGTGATTCGGTTGGTTGGATCGTGTCTCGGGGATGTCACATCTCGTCGGGTAGGTGACCGCCGTCCGGCGATCATGGCTTTTCTTCCAGGATCCATTATTGATGATTGTAGATGCTGATGTTTTGGAAGGGAGACGAGTCAAATGTTGAAGTATCAGGGAAGTATCGATCTTATCGGTGAAAAGTGGATACCTCTCGTTGGAAAATCCTTATCGGCAGGAACGCCTTGAGGCGCCTTGAGGCGCGCGAGCACGTGATGCAATACAACATCTCACTTACATGAAACTGAGGTTAATGGGCCATGTTATTTCGTACTACGTAGATCTACAGGTGAGGGTTGCCCTTTACTTGTGGTTTGATCGGCTTTGTTACTGCGGTCCTGCATCGAATTTTCGGCTTCTATTCTTTAGGGGTCCAACGGTTTTAACGCCATCATTCCAATCATCAAACTTGACTTACAGTCGATATGGTGCGAGTAGTGATTAGTTATCAGGCAACAATCGAAATAAGGTAACAAATTGCGGTCTTGTGGATGTTATGAGAGTGTATTTACAGATACTGTTGTGTATTGTACTATCTATTATCTTTGTTCGGGTGAGTGATGCTCTTCATTCCTTGTGCTATTTTGAATGTTCCTCGACTTCATGGGATAATGATGCTTAGGGTCAGTGATACCAGAAGCCTTATATCTATCAACAATTGCTAGGCTACAGTAGGTTTACGGAAATAGTCTCTCCACGATAGACTTTTTGTCCGCTGCAGACTGAACATCATGTTCGCCAACATGCACTGTTGTGATACCCAACTTCACTCTCATGCAACAACTTACCCTGTGTCACCTCGACAACCTCAATCACAATCACCAACACATGCCATCACCACACGAGTTCACCAAAGTCTAGACCAACATAACATCATTCATGCCGCTAATATTCACACCAATAAGAGTCGTTAACTACATCAATTGAGTTAATTATCCATGTTTAAGCTTGAGAAAGAAAAACAACAGCTTTACCTAACAGGGGTTGGTGCGGCCATTTGAGCAAGTTAATTATCATCTCAAACTCGCTCGCTCTCAGCCATCCCCCGCATGGCCTGACCTTATTGGGAGAATATGTGATGACAGGCAAGTGAGAATCATGTACAGATTCCGGATCTTATGCTTAAAGGAACCTTGTTTCTAAGCTTATTGTGAGAGAAAAAGAGAGTTCACGAGGATGTGTAGTTGTATCATCATGAATAGACTGAATTGATCAACGTTCACACTGCAGCTGCATCTATATAGCATGCTCCGGTCAAAGGCCGTTGTCAAACGGCCACCTGCAGCCCCAAAACCTCACACCAACCCCCGAATGTCCGGGGGAGACACCGGCTTCTTCAACGGTAAAGCTACCAGTGACACAGCAGTGGCTATCACGCGAAGTCAGCCACAACCCTGCGAAACTGACTCACGCTAAGTCAATAATTGCTTGGTCAAGAGCAGCTTCCAGATGCAGAGAGCTAGAGCTCGGTTACATGAGCTGGACCCTGGAATGACTGAGGTGCTGCTTTGTGCATATAAAGACAGCTGAAGCGCCTGCTGTGCTTCCTTTTGTTGTTACTCACCCTCTCCTCCACCGCAACACACTCGTCACCTCAACAATCAAGATGCTGGCCTTCAAGACTCTTCTCGGCCTGGCCACTGTCCAGGCTGTCTCTGCCCACTTCGGTCTCGTCTTCCCTCCTTGGCGTGCGGACACCCTCAGTGAGGAGGGCGAGGAGCGCTACAACCAGTGGGAGCAACCCTGTAAGACATTTCGTATCGTTCGCTCGCATACTCTGCTAACAAACAATAGGTGCTCGTGTTGACTTCAACAAGAAGAATCTCACTGACTGGCCCCTCGACGGCGGCGCTCTCACCCTTGAACTTCACCACGAATGGTCCTACATCTTCGTCAACCTCGGCCTCGGCGAGAACTCCACCAACTTCAACATCTCCCTCACCCCAGAGTTCCTCAACGCCACAAACTCAGGCACTCTCTTCATTGACAAGCTTGAGCTTCCCTCAGACGTCAAGCCCAAGGACGGAGACATCGCTAGTATTCAGGTTGTTACCGTTGGTGACACTGGCAATGCCCTGTACAACTGTGCCGATATCCGCTTCAAGGAGAATGCCAAGGGTCCTAGCAACAAAACTGGCGACGTGGACTACGTCAAGATCAAGCAGCAGAAGGGCAACGGAACTGAGGAGGATAGCTCTTCCAACTCTACATCTTCTGGAGACAGCAAGGACAACGCCGCTGGCACAATGGGTGTGAACACGGTGGTTATGACTTCTGTCGTGGGTCTTGCTGCCACTTTTGTGATGGGATTGGGCCTCTAGATGGATGACCTTATGAGACATGGTTACTTCAATGTGTAATCAGTAGTCATGATAGAACGTTCACGGCCTTCGAAAAATTATGATTGTTTATGCGCGGAACAAGATATTCCATTGACGTTGCCAACCTGCAGTATAGGCTGGCTACTGGGAGCCTTTTATTGTTAATCCATTGGAACCCTAAAGATGCTTCCAGACCCGTATATGATGACTTGCATGATTGAAGAAAAGGAAAATGAACATGCAGATGGTATAATATATAGAAACAAGAGTTACATTAAAACGTAAAGAATAATAACAGGGTATATCCAATCTGGGTTGGTCAGCTTGGTCAAACCAGGGGCGTTGTTTGTTTACTCACCATCGCACTCATAAATTCAGCATGTAACGCTGAAACACCAAACTCCAGTCATGAAATAAAAAAACAAAAGACAGATAATGACCAGTTGATTATTCTTGTGAGATCCTCTCACATATGGTTGATAACAGTTGCGACTCCTTATACGGCCTTCATCCCGTAGGAGCAGCAGCCTGTTCAACACTCAACTCTTGTACCACTTTGGCCATAGTGATACGTTGGTTGGGGTTAGGGTATAGCATCTCCATAACGATCCGCTCGAGTCGGTCCTTGGGATTTAGACTCTTCCTCGCATCGAAGATCTCGGCAAGCCAATCTCGCATCTGCTTCATAGCGGGTTGACCATTTCCATACTGCTTGTGCGGCATGTTGGGACTGTTCACCCCAGCGATCAACCAATAAAGGGGTCGCGGGTGTCGTCGATGAGCACGAGAGTCAGGGTACGTTATTTTGCGCAACACGTAGAGCATAGTGACACCGAGTGCCCAAACGTCAGAAGCAGGACCGCGTTGTTTTCGACCAATGAATTCCGGAGGAACGTAGTACGGTGTTCCGCCTACGGTCGGCGAATTAGTAGCAGTGGCCGGTGTAGACAGGCCAAAGTCACAAAGGACTGCACCTCTCTCTGGCGAGTAGAGGATGTTGGCGGGCTTGATATCGTTGTGCACCAGCTTGCGACCGTGGATGTAGTTGAGGGCCCCGGCGATGTCTCCCAAGATCCTGGCAGCGTCATTTCTGTCGCCAATGAACTCATCGTTGGTATTATTCCTCCATCGAGGCATGGAAGTCAGGTCCTTTGCGTCGATGTGCTCCATGTATAGGGAAAGGAATCGGGCATCACCGCCATAGTAGCGAACAATCGACTTGTGCTGCAGGTCTTCCTGACCCCTACACTCACGAAGCCACATGTCGGCCTGACGGATGACAGTCCGCTCGTGGACGAGCGCCTTGTCGTTGGGGTTGGCAACGCGCGTCTTGAGTACCTTGACAGTAACGATGTTGTTCGGTACGTGGGAGTGTGTTGCTGTGTACACGGCAGACAAGGAAGTCGAAGCAATTGGCTCTCGCTTGGTGAGTTCGTACTCATCGACTTCGCAGACACCTGAGATTGCAGCAGTTTCACCCTTTTCAGCGTCCAGCAGAGGATGGCCATTCACCGAGGAGAGCTCCTTGCTCTCGCGACCATTCGGGAGGGAGAAAACCAAGGGGTCCGCGGAAGGCCTGAGGAACATAACAACACCGTCGTCACCGGGTGTATTCGGGTCTGAGACACGACGTTTCACTCTCTTCTCGTCATACTCCAGAGAAAGGGCCCGCTTGCCGCTCGAGTTCACGGTGGGGGTGCTGGACTCCGAGGGAACATCCTCGACAATAGACGGTTGTTGTGGTTGATACAGTATCACTGGGCGCTTTTCAAGTACCCGGAAGTCGAGGACTTCCATGTCTCGAAGCGTAATGCGCCATGTTCCAGGCCTCAAAGCCTTGGCTGATCCGGGGTTGACGACATGCGAGGGACTGTAAGGGCTCGACGGCGGCGTCGGTGACACTCCTGACAGGGAAATTGGCAGGTCTGACCGGTTCAAGAAGATGACTTTGTCACTAGCGGGATCGTAGTATAGCTCGCACCACAAAGGGGGCCTTGGATAGTCATCCTGAGTCTCACCGGGGATACGGACGGTGAATTTGATATCTTTGGAGGTCTGAGTCACAGCGAGAACTTTGTGCTCAGGCTGCTCTGGTGAAGCCACTTCGGCGCGGAGAGCGAGCCACTGTAAACTTTCACTACCAGGGCTCACAGACCGCGACTTGGGGAAGTTGGCTAGGGGACGAAATAGAATGCGGATGCCTTGCCTGTGGTGGTGATCCTCGACGTGGAGCTCGTCTAACGAGACAAGCGAAGAGCTAGCAGCAGGGACTGGTTCTTCAACACCAATCCCCTTGAAGCGGGCGTCAATTTCGGATTGAGAAAATGGCTCGGTGCGCTCTTCTGAGACAACCTCAGAGAGCCCGAGCCTAGGTTCTGCCATAAGTTTGGCTATCTCTGCTTCATAGATGAAGTTGGTAAGCAACCAAGGCGTAGAGCGGTGGGTGGACCAGGCAGAAGAACTAGGCAAGAGTTTACCTCAGATGCTAGCTAACCAACCAAACGCAAATGAATGGATGGCAGGCTGAACAGAATGTCTATAGTAATTGATAGAGTTTGTGTGATTGCCACGTAGAAACGCAATCCGTGCGGTGATGCGTTGCGTAGCGAGATACGATTGATGTTGCGCCAGGCTGAAAAGTGTAATGTAGTTGTGAATGAATATGTATGAATGTATGAGTAATATGAGGGGCTGACTGTGATTGAATTCCAGGCAGGCTACTCAATGCTGCGCTTGTGAGGCGATGCACTCCAAGAATGTATGTACAGTACGACACAAGGCGAACCGAGGCGGGGAGAGAGTGGGAGTGGAAGGGTTTAATAGGAGCTGGGGAAGAGTGGGCTGTGGCTAGGTATTATTAGATGCAGCAATAACACCTTAGCTTGTACGGATAGGATGGGAATGTAATGTAGGAGATGCAGGAACAGAAACAAGAGCCAAACTCAGCAGCAGATTTGACCCTCAACGAGCCCTGTTTTAAGTGAATGAACAGGGCATATCAGAAGGACAGGACACGATGGGTGTGTTCTTCTGCGAGGGTTGAAAAGACAGCTTTCAGCCCAGGTCAGCCCAGGTCCAGGACAGGCCTGCTGATGGCGTATAGTCTCGTCTCAGACTCCACGAGGAACAAGACTGAATCGGGGTCGAGTCATACAGCGGTTTAGTTATTCGCTGCCTGAGGGCTGAGGGGATGATCCAAAAACGGGGAACGAGGGCGATTCATTCTATTCAAGAAAGGATAGAAAGAAGCGGGAGCGGGCGGGACGAGACGGTACGAAGCGAATGCCACTGAGCACTGGCGTTGGCGCTGGGGACTGTCCTGACCATCCTATTCTGCGCTTACGGTTGTTGGCTTGGGAGGGAGCTTTTGGCGTGTGTGGAGTGTAGGACTGGACTCTTAACGGGTAGGGCTGGGCTTGACAAGGCAGAATTTGACTGGACACAGTTGAGGACACATCCACTGCCACACTCGCTGCCACAACCGAACGTTTTGTGGCTGTGCATAGTCATCTCACGTAAGACTGACTTCCTAGGAAGTCAGGGACATTTACCTCGATGGCCAGATGGTATTATCTATTGGAGATGTCCTCATAGATCTCTGGTCATTATGAGATCCAATAGCTTGTACAAATGACAAGAAGGATGATGGATAATTCACTCGAATTAATTGCTGATGAGCCCTTCGTGAGCCTTTTGGCTGCACGTTGTCTACCAAAAGGCGAGCATAGAAGCATCTGGCATCTTACATGGCTCAGCGGATCTTACTATGACGACACTGAAGCTGATATTGAACAGACCAATTTCAGCATGACTGAATAACCATCGAGATTTGGGGAAAAGCAGGCTATATAAAGAAGACGATAAACTTTACGAGACAACGTGAGTTTGTCACGATATTAGGCACCAAAGACATTTGTGCAGAGGTCAGTTGTTGTCTCATAATGAGTTTCGGTGAGTGATCGTGACTTGAGACTAAAGTGGAAGTTGCCTCTGATGACAGTCCTCGTGACAGGTCAGACTTGGTCAATGAGTGTTTACGTGGCCAATACTTCAACAGTTATCAATGCCAGTCATTTCTGAGGAAACTACACTATAAAATTGTAAAATAATTAATGAGTTTGTAGCAATCATTGTGATATTGAATATCGACATACTTGGTGTTTTGTGTTTGTGTGAATCCTTCATCAATGATGGAATCGATTGGAAGCGGCCGGCGTCGGAACTGCCCAAACAAAATCTGCCGCAATTGCACGAAAGAAGCATCAAAGGGTGGGCTGCAAATGGCCCCCAATGGACGCCATCATATCACTAGCGTTGCCTAGTTCAAGAGATTGCATGAGATGGCTCCACTTGCTGCTGAGAAAAGATCGTCATTGGACGCTAATTATGCAGGCGCGTCTCGTGTCTCCGTCTTCGAAGGGATGACAGCCAATCGTAGCCCCTTATCGTGTCTGCCTCAGGCATCTCAGGCTGCACTCGTGGTCTTTGGGTTGCTGGGGGCCAAGCGCACCCTGAGATATGGGTATGGCTCTTGCCCCCCAGAACCTGCCGAATTCTGTTTCTCGTCACGCCCGCCTCCAAAACACCCACGATCATCACCTATAACCAAAATCCAAACCCGCCCAAAGAGTCCCAGAAGAGCCCAACAAGCACGCTTCTTGCACATCAGTTCAGAGCAGTCTTCATTTTTTTGACTTCTGAACACCTCGAGGATTTTGACGCCATGGACATGAAATAGATCCCGTAGCTCCCACGAGCTCTCGACCCACGGATACCTGGACACTCTTACTGGACACTCTCTTCTTTACCACAACCATTCCACCACTATAATTTACCTACTTCTATTGACTGTGACCTCGACATGGACGATCCGGGCTTGTCATGGCCGGCCTGGAAATTCGGCATGAAGAGGGATGACCTCTTTCATACTCTACACGAAAAATACAACACCTTTACCTTTAACCTCCAAGACCCCGAAGCCTTTCATCACGACGTTTACGAAATTTCCCGCGATGCCGATACCATCGACGATTTCCATCGCTTGCTGGATGAGCGAAAGCAACAGCGGATTCACGAACTCCACGAGTCTCTCGAATCTCTCGCTGTTGAGATCATCGCCAACCCCAAGTTGATGGATTCTGAACATTGGCAGTACGCCCTTCAACTCTTCCGGACCAAGTCTTTCGACTCGATCGTCCGTTATTTTGCAAGCTACCTACCCGAACAATATCTTGATCACAACGACCGTGATCATGATGCTATTTCTATTGCTTCCTTATCCTCCTTCTCTGAGACCAATAGCGTCAAGACCGAGAGCACCACGGCCAGCAGCGTCGATGATGCCTCTAGTTTCTTTGATGATGAGCCTATCTTGACAAAGGGTCCCCTCTCGATCCATACCGACATTCGATCATCATCTGTTGTTCAAGCGCCCCCCTCGCCCCCCCATTCCGAGGCAGCGCACGGCGATGAGTCTTCTGTTTCCTCTCCTACTTCCGTAGAGTCGCACGAATACTCCACCCCCCCTTCACGTTCCATGTCGTTTTCTGGTTCCGAGACAGCTGAAGCTATCTCTGACGTCAGATCACTCGTTCACGACGAAGATGAGACCTCGCAGTTCGATGACGGCGACTTTGCGGTCGCCTCGGATTCTGATTGCGCAGAGAGCCAGTCGTCACTGGACGTAATGGATGACGGGGAACAATCTAATGACAAGTATGAGGATGATCTAGAGGAGGAGGATGATTTTCCTACTACTCAATTTCCTGAAGATGCTAGCGACGGTTGCGATTTCTATGACGATACCCCAAATTTCGATGACACACCGACTCCCCGACAGGAGTCTATCGCGCCCTGCTATATTGAGTACAAGTCTGTCGCGGCATGGAGAATACCTTCTCCTCGTCGTTCAACCTCCCCCTCTCCACGAAGCCACCATCCCTACCGCCGCGAAGGCTCAAGCCTGAAGGACATCCGCCGAAGTCCTGAGGAGTCGATGAGCAAAATTCAGAAACCGATGCATGAGCAAAGGAAAAGGCCGACGTTTAGGAAACGGCTTGATTAGCGATTGGGGAGGCAGGGTGCTTTGTATATATTTGACGCAAGCGATAGATACCTGTATCTGATGACTTTTAATCCTTTCTTAATCACTTCTCTCCACAGTCGCTCGCGACATGGTCACTCTTATACAATGCCTTGGAGTAGAGGCTCTGGTGGTCATTTTCAGGTGAGAATGCCCTACTTTTAGAACACCCTGGTGAGTACGTTCCTGCGCCTGATGTACCTGCAGCATTTGACGTGACCGTTCTACCCGTATCACGACACGTGGGTCATGTGGCTTTGATTGTTGACATGCGACGGCGCAACCATCACGAGGCACAGACCTTTTGAAAGAGTGATATATACTACCACGTGGGCTAATGACGTACACGAAGCATGTTCTCGATGGGATTGTCGACGATTGTTGATCGGGATCGAAGCGTACCTGCATGCTGTTCCTGGCGGCCGGCTGTTAGGGACGCCACGGGAAGTTTGCTGTAACGACATGGTAAGCTGTGAGGGTGTATGATAGAGAGGTATGTTACGATAGATGGGTTATCTCTTGGTTGTTGATTTACTGTTGCATCAAGGAGTTCGGGGTGTTGATTCTATGCTATCTGATGTTATTCCCGAGCATCATTTATGAATCATGCATGATGCGTATCACAGGCGACGCAATGAAGGCTTGACTTATTCATAAGCTCAATACGAGCACCTTGAAGACATAATAGAATATTAATCGTGCTAAATATCTCTCCGGACTGCATGTGAATCGTTGATCTTCCCACGAAGACACAAGATTATTGACTACCGCGTCGACTCCTGTCAGATTTGTGAGAATGAGAGGCCTGACACGAGCTTGGGGGCCGTCTTCAAACCATCTCGTTGATGATGGTGTTCTCCACTGTCTTTGCCAGAGCAGTGAAAAATGTCACTCAGGTCAACTTATTACCTTGCTTGCATAAGCGGCCACCAGAGTAACAGACAGATGAATCGAAGTGCTTTAGGCGTTGCTGGTATGGATGTAACATGATCGTTGGCACTGTTCATCAAGGTACGAAGGAGGTATATGTCTCTTACCTGTAAACTGATTGTAGTGCGGAATCGCTCCGCCGCTCAGCGACCTTCCTATCACCGCAGTACGTGCCTAAATAAACGAATAAACGAGCTCGTTTTGTTTAGAACAAAAGTTCCATATGAAGATAGATGCCTGATTGGGTTGAGATTGCTGTCCATTAAATACTGCAGGGCGCATCTTACACTTGTGTTCTCTCTCACCCCGCACTTTGTAACCAAACCTGAACATCTACAATCGCCATGTCCACCACAACCACCAAGAAGACTGCCCGATATGGAGACTGGGAATCACCAATCTCGGTAGATTCAATCGTATCTAAGACGAGAAAACTTTCCTCACCTAGAGCCAATGTAAGTATTCTGGCACTTGATGATCCGAGCAGCCGTTGACGTGTCCAGCCCAAATCTGGTAGAGCTTTCTACACAGAAAGTCGCGAAGATGGAAGCACAACTATTGTTGAGATCCTGAAAGACGGTATCAAAGATATTCTTCCATCCGAGTACAGTGCCAAGAACACCGTGTATGAGTATGGCGGTTCAACATACGCCGTTCTCCCAGATGATCGTATCATCTTCTCCAACAAGGGTGATACAGTTCATATACTGAACCCAGACAGCAAGGAAGTTACAGAACTTACTGGCCACCCAAACCTGAGATACTCAAACTTCGAAGCAAACCCGGCGTCGTCATGGGTTCTGGCCAACCAGGAAGACCATGAGCATGACACTCCTGATGGAGTTCGCAACTACATCGTGGCAATCAACACTGATACAGCCGAGGTGAAGCGGATTCTTGACACTGCTGACTTCTACTACGAACCATCTTTCAGTCCGGATGGCTCAAAGCTTTCGTGGCTGGAGTGGAATCATCCTGAACTGCCTTTTGACTCTGCGAGGCTGTATACTGCGACATGGAACGATGGCTCTATCTCAGATATTAGCCTTATTGCAGGAAAGGATCGTGAGGGAGTTGCAGAGCCTAGATGGGGCCCCGATGGATCTCTATTCTTTAATAAGGAGGTCGGAGAGTATCGTCGCTTGTACCGTATTCTTCCCGGAAGTGACGAGCATGTCGAGATCAAAGTCGATGGCATCGGCAATGCCGAGTTTGGAGAACTTCGATGGTTTCAGGGAAGGTGAGAACTCCGAAGACATCACAACAACCATGCTAAATGAGTATAGTCATACCTATGCGCCCCTGTCTGATCGACATCTTATCGCTTCTCCCTACATTCTCGGAACATCTAGGATGATTCTCATCGATCTAGAGTCGGGAAGTTGGAAAGACATCGGCGATTCTCAGAGGCTGGCGGAAGTCCAGCTGGACGCAGTTGCACGCCTGAGCAATACTTCAGTTCTCGTCGTTGGTTCCGGAGAGACTAATGCTAAAGCGTTGTATCGAGTTGACACCGAAGGCTCTGTTTCGATCACCCAAGTACGGGGTTCTACAGATGATGGACTTCCTAGCGAATTCTGCTCCAAGCCTATCCTGAAGAAGATTCACTCAAAGGGCCAACCAGAAAGAGAATTGTATGGATTCTTGTGGCTCCCGCACAACCCGAACTTCAAGGCACCAGAAGGGGAACTACCTCCTCTGATTATGATAAGTCATGGAGGGCCAACATCCTACACCGGCCCTGGTCTTAACCCAAGAACACAATACTTCACCTCGAGAGGATATGCAGTTCTTGCTTTCAACTACAAAGGATCAAGCGCTCATGGGCGTAAATATCGAGAAGCTCTCTGGGGAAACTGGGGCTTAGTGGACTCAGACGATGCTGCAGAATTCGCAGATAACTTGACATCTGAGGGAGTTGTCAAATCTGGCGGAGTAGGGATCACTGGTGTCAGTGCAGGAGGATACAACACTCTTCGAAGCTTAACCCGTCACCCGAGCACCTTCGCTGGTGGTGTATGTCTCTCAGGTGTAAGCGACATCAAACGCCTGGATGACTCAACCCACAAGTTGGAATCAGACTACACAGATCACCTAGTGTTGCAGAAAGGGGTAGATAAGAGCGAAAAGGACAGAATCTGCCGTGAGAGAAGTCCCTTGTTCGAAGCCCAAAAGATCACAGCCCCATTGCTGCTCTTACACGGAGGTAGTGACAAGGTCACGCCGCTGGATCAGGCACAAGAGATGGCCGATGCCATTGAGAAGGCAGGGGGTGATGTTGAGCTTATCGTTGTACCTGAAGAGGGTCATGGATTTGGACTGCCGAAGAACGTGAAGCTGTGGCTTGAGGAGGAAGAGAAGTGGTGGAGAAAGACGTTGCTGTGAGAGACGGGGAGAAGAATTCGAAAGAGACACTTTGTCATAAAGAAGACTAGCTATAGAGTCAAAAAGAGCAACGAGAACTACATGACAACTGCATCTTGAGAACGTGAAAACAAGGGACTCTGAAATGACCATTCTATGCTAACGCTTCTAATTTTCAAGCACCATCACCAGGGGTATCCCGCTTCAGTTGACACCCGATTTTAGCTTACCATTAGACTTCCAAACCTCGTATTCGAAATCAGGCTGAAACTCAGTATACAACGCCTCCTATTCGCCATGTCAGTCAACTGCTTGTAATTTCTTCCATAGAACGACAACTCACAGGGTCAGCATTGTATCGATAAGTGTACTCAGCCTCTTCATCACCAATAATTCGTCTCGGCAGCCCAGCACTCTCCACCAAGAGCTGTATCTCACACGTCCTCTCCATGAGGGAGAACAAATACGCCGCTTCATCGACTGTTCTACCGGCCGTCAACAGCCCATGGTTCTGTAGAATGACGGATCGATTTTTCGGACCGAGTGCTTTGGCAATACGAGCACCCTCATCGTCTTCAAAGACAACACCTCCAAAGTCGGAGTACACGCTGTGGTCTTTGTAGAAGATACAGGCATCTTGACTGATCATCTCGAGGGGCTTTCCAAATGTTGACCAAGCCTTGCCATACTTGGAGTGAGCGTGGCATGCAGCGTCCACATCTGGCCTGGCTTTATGAATAGCAGCATGGATAGTAAAACCAGCTGCGTTGACGGCGACTCGGTTACCGCCAATGACTTGACCGTCTTCGTTGATGTGGACCATATGGCTTGCCTCAAGCATTCCGAAGTGAACTCCGATACTGATGCTGTCAACGTAAATGTCACCAGAGAGGAAGATGAGACTCACGGGTTAATCCAAAAGGTGCTAGGATCAACAGGATCTCTCACACTGATATGTCCCGCAGCACCCTCAGTGAATCCCATACGGGCAAACACACGAAAGGCACCAGCCATGTGCTGCAGTTGCCATTGTCGCTTTTGATAAGGGTCCTCGATCTTGGGAATGCCAGGATATGGGATACCACCCGTTGCAACAGCTGCAAAGTTCTGGTTGACTGGCTCTTCGGGGGTTGGAGCCGAAGCTTCGGAGCTTGTTGCGAAGGATGCGGATCGAAGAGAAGGTTGAAGCTTTGAATAAGGTTTGGTTGTGAGTTTATGTGAGGGGAGGATAATACGGGATCCAGAGGCTGAGCTGCTGAATGAAAGTGAGGCCTGCCTGGAGATAACTCGCTTTAGAGGCGCTGCACGGAAGGATTTTGATGAGAGCATTTTGCTTATTTGCACTTGAGGAGTGGAATATAATAGAAATGATGCCTTTATTATGATAGATAGAGATGTATGAAATGGCAGAACCGTCGTCAGTTATTCACTCGGTCCTCATTTATATGAGCCGGCCGGCCAGAGAGAGTGAACCGGCTCTCTTCCGGTCCCGCAAGTCAGTGAATCCAACAATCAATCAACTCCCCCGCCTCAAGATAGAGTCCAAGCTAGAGCAGCACCTAACAGCGGTAGTTGTATCTCTATGCGAACTATCCTAGGGTATTCTGGTGGACCTTGCTATCTGCGGGGTGCACTTCATATGACAAATCCGGGTCTTGTCATTTGAGCCAAGATGAGGTTCATGAACAAATATCATATTCAAACCAGACGCTTTTGCCGGAGCCTCTATTATTGCCAATTACTAAGTACAACACTTGCTTTATATCACTGACGCTCTAATCTGTGTATTTTCCTCCATCTGCACCATTAGGCTTGGTCCTCTCAAGGCGACCGAGACTCTGTCCATCCATCCAGCCCTTTGGTCTTCTGCTCAGCTTCCACCTCACAGCCATGCACAATGCGCCAAAGGTCTTGATGCCAAAGGCAACCCAGAGCAAGATCTCAGAAGCCAGGCGTCGTCTTCCGTGCATGCTGATTCCATCTGGCAAACGCTCCTCGAAATAGCTTAGGTAACGAACAAAGAAAACTGAGTTGATACATGTGTGACCGGCAGCAATGCCGAAGTAAGCGGCCGAAATGGCCCAGTAGGTAAGACGGACCTTGTCCCAAACGTAGTCGTCAAATTGCTCGATTTCCTCCTTGCTGCCCTTGGGAAGAGGACACCATCGCTTGCCGATGATGCAGCGACACTTCATCCAGTGAGGTCTGTTGGGAATAACCCACTCTCGGAGAATGTCCATGATGCTGAATACCAGAGCGACATAGATGTTGATCCAGACGATCCAGCTACTAATTGGAAGTCCGCCGCTGGCCATGTAGCTTCGCCAGGCTTCAAAGAAGATGTTGCCACATGGATCTTCATACGGGCCCGGCTTGGGGCAGTTGAAGGTGTCTTCTGGAAGTCGAAGCTCAGTGGCAATCTGGTTAAGATCATTGACGATATTTGAGTGATATCGTAGTCCTGAGGATGTGATTCCAACTTTTGGAAGACCCTTGGGGGCTGTGGGATGTTCCCATCCAAAGGAACTGGCGAACCAGTTTAGGTGCACCAAGAAATGAGAGGTATCATTGTTGGGAATTATGCCTTCAAACTGATGATTTGTTAGTCGGAAGATCCGGAAAGATATATTGACATTTCAAATCACCGTAATATCAAGGATATGAGAAGTGAGTGATTATGGGTGAACTTACCGAGACCAAGGCTAATGGCTTCCATAGAAGATGATCAGGATCACCACGAATAATGGTGGTACCAGCAATAAACACAATGGACGCCAAAATGACTGAGATAACACTGCCAATCACACCCAAGATAAGAAGAGCATCAGAAATGTTCTTCCTCGTGGGCTTGGTGAGATATTTGAGCATCATGTTGATGATGCAAGGTGAGCCGACCGATGCCCAGCTCAAGGCAGAAACTGATACTGATACTGATGCTGACGATGACGTTACAGAAGAGATAGATAAGAAGATGTCGTGTTTAGACTGTGAGGAATAAATGAGAGAAATAAATGAGTGCCAGAATGATAACGTGTAAGTAAAGGTATTAACTTGGACTAGTTGATGCCTCTTTAGGTAGTGAAAGTGCCCCTATTGAATGATGGGATTGGAATGAATGGGCTCAGCCTCGTTTTCTCAATCACGCACGATACGAGAAGAGAATCAATAACAACGCGGGGGGGCTTGAGGCGAGTCGCCGAACTAGGCCTAGTCTAGTCTTTTTCCTCTGCAGACGCCCAATGTTCAGGGGTGCTTTAGGGGAGACTACAGCACGTGAGGCCTAGATCTTTTGTTTGATGGGAATATTCTACAATCAACCCACTGATTTAAGAGCAGAGGCTTTGTGATGTATGGATCTTATCATTAGAGATTGATGATGATGTTCTAGAATGAAATCCTCAACTTCGGCAGTCCCAAAATAGATCCCTCGCTAGTTCTATCAACGGGTATAAATATTTGGCGGCCTCAGTTCTCGACCCATGATAAATATCAAATGGATCCATGATCCATCTGCCAATTTCCATTCCTTCAGAGACCATCTCGCATCGGATGTTTAATATTACCCGTTTAACCCCCTGCGTAACGCATCCTCCGAAGCCGAAGCATCCGTTGCACACACTCTTTGAGTCGGTTGAACTAACAAAATGTCACATCGGGCGCTAAGGTAGTTCTGACAACTGTCTTGTCTTGTCTTACAGAATGCAATGTAATGCAATGCAAGTCAGTGATAGGCGCCCGGGAATAACTCACTAATGCTAGCTAATAACCCCCTGTAACATGTCTTTTATCTGTCTTGCTGTCCATTCGTGGCGATCCTTTTCTCTCGGGGAGTTTATGTCAGATTTGCCCACTATTGGCTGCTCTCACATTTCTTGGATTCTGAAACCATGGTGATGGGAAATTCTGGAGCTGGGCCGCTTATAAATAAGGCTAGGCGAGGAAAGGATACAACGTCCATGGCAAATTCCGAGAAACGGATGAAGGAACAAGGATGATGCTCAAATCCGCGTATAGCTTCAACTTCCCTCGGGTCTTCAAACACTGTCTTCCAGCATATCAGCTCTTGACAACAGGCATTGTCTCCTGTAATACAACTCTCCTGATGCTTCGCAAGGCTCCAATGGTCAATGAATATTGATTCGACTTGGTCATAGTCATGTTCTCATCTCACTTGTTGTCATTCTCGATAGAGGCTCATTGAGCTGTCTCTTATAAGGCTGACAACTGCCGAAGCTGAAGATCATCTTGCCCATCAGATAAGACAAACGACCACAGCCCTTTCACTTTATATTCGAAGTTTCACCAACCCACTGAGACACGAGACTTGATTAGGAGATTTGTTCCCAAATCTAGCAACTTTAGGAAACTTTTCGTCGACACTAGTTTCTTCACCAAGGGTTTGAAACACAAAGCCTGTGCTTGATCACCCCTCAATCGGTGCCTGTTTGATGTTCCACCATCAATTCACCATCTATGACTGGCCATCATACGGGTTAATTGTTCTGGAGTTTTTCCACCGCTCTCAGCTCGTCTTTAAACATGTTTAGCTTGGTTCATTGCGCTGGGGTAGAACGCCATGGGTTCAGCTTATACACTTATAAGAGATGCTGCTCTCCGGCTTAGGTGGAGGACAGAGAGACGATAGCTTCACACACTGCTGGCTTGGATAACTGACCTGGGGTATAGTCCTCTTTACATTCTTTTGCTCTATTCATTCATTACTATTCTGACTACATACGTTCTTTTCCGTACACTATTCCAACCGAATACATTCGTTCCTTGACATCTAAGCCAACATCGCAATGTCTCGTCTTCTCACTTTCGCTGCCGGCCTGGCGCTGGCTGCTGCCCAACTCACCTCGTCCTCGCTCGAGAACCATGTCGATACCCTCACCTTGGGTGCCTCTTTCAACCCCGTCAAGGAAGCTTACTGGACTGGCCTTCCTCACCATCGCCGAACTCCCTTTGCCGTCTCTCCTGATGGAAAGACTGCTTTCCTGGCTTACCTCGATGCTAGCGGTACCGATGTCCACATCCAGGGCGTTGACCCCAAGACCTTTGCCGCTGTTGGAACTCCCGTCACTGTCAAGAACGGTAAGGAGGCTGGTGGTCTTGTTGCCCATAACGATGGTTTCGCTCTCCTGACCAACGAGGTTGTCTCTGGGGAGGCTAAGGATCCTCTCCCTGTGATCTACAAGTACACCAATGGCAAGCAGGCTTTCCGAACTCTCCTTGGTGGCTCTAGCTTCTCAGGAAATGCTCTTGCTTCTCCTGACATCAACGGTGATCTTGTCTTCTCCGAGAAGGCTGGTTACTACGCCGCCTACATCGTTGTTACCTCCTACAGTGGCGATGCTTCCGGTCACTTTGGTGATGCCATCCGATACATCACCTCCGAGGGTAAGGTCGAAGAGATCCAGGGAGCTTCTTCTTCCTGGGGCTGCTCTCACAACACCGGTATCGCCTTCGAAGCCGCCGATGAGCCTCCCTTCGCTTCCCTCTGCTCCGAAGATCAGGGTGCTATCTGGCTGAACACCGAGACTCAGGGCATGAGCAACAACGGGGTCAAGGTCTCCAACGAGCACGTCATCAACGGAGCTAGCAACGAGCCCATGGGTGGAATGAGTGGCTCTTACAGCTCTCTCGCTCGCTTCATTGGTGCTGACTCTTACATCTTCTCCTGGGTTTCTCGTGGTGCTATCGATCTTACTCTGAACGACTGGATGGGCGAGGGCTACACTCACGCTGAGAACCGCACCAACAACCGCAACGTTGCCATTGCTCTGTTCTCTGATAAGAAGACCCTCATTGGCGAGCAGGCTTCCTCCAAGGTCGGTGCCAAGGATGGTGATAGCCAAGTTAACTGGGTGACTGATGGTGCCAATGACTGCTCCAACGCTCACGTTGCTACTTTTGATGCTTCCACTGCTCTTGTTACCTGGGAGGAGATCTCCAACCCTGTTTGTGAGTTCGAGGCCATGGGTTGCAAGGGCAAGTTTGCTGGTACCAAGTTCCAGGCTGTCGACAGCAAGGGCAAGAAGCTTGGCTCTGCCATCACCTCTGAGGATACCTACGTTGCTGGTGACATGGTCACTATGTCTGATGGCCGTATCTGCTGGCCCTATGTCAACATGGCTTGGTCTCTCAGTGGCCCTACACAGGCTGCTGATGTCAAGAAGATCTCTTTCGCTTGTATCTCCAACGGCAGTGGCTCTGGATCCAGCTCTGGATCTACCACCAAGGCTTCTACTGCTGTCGTTCAGCCTTCTGCTACCAAGACTCCCAATGCTGGTGCTGCCAAGCCTTCGACTGTTGAGTCTGCTGCCGCTGCTGAGGGTTCCTCTGGAGAGTCTTCTGTCCCTGAGGGTGCGCCCCGTCCCTCTTTCGCTACAGTCCCTGGCTCTGTGACTGATGTTCTCTCCGCGCCCACTGAGGTCGCTTCGTCTGCTGCTGCTGAGAAGCCTTCCTCAGTTGTTGTCAAGCCCTCTGCCTCCGCTGCTCCTGTGGATGGTGACAACGAGCCTGCTACCACCGAGGCTCCTACCAAGGTCGCCCCGGTTACTACCCAAGCCCCTGCCGAGAGCGCTGCCCCTGTTGAGACTCTTCCCACCTCCGCCGATGGCGAGGATGACTGCAACGAGGAAGCCTCAGGTAACTCTCCTGTTAACACCCAGGCACCTACCAAGGTCAACAAGCCTTCTGGCCGACGCACTCGCACTCGAACCCGCACCCATACTCGCCGCCCCAGCTCTCCCTTTTCCAAGAAGGAGTGTGTAGCTAAGACCGTCACTCAGACAGTCTATGTTACTGCTACTGCCGCCCCTAAATACTAGTTAGTGGCTGGTTCAATTATCATTAGCAGTATATGGAATCGCTTGTGTGCCTGGCAATTATTCGTTCTTGTATATAGTACTTTACCTTGAAGAGCCCGTGTTTTATATATAAGATACGATATGGAGGCTTTGTTTACACTGGACATGAATACTTGAAATTGCAGGAAATGATGCTCGAAATTATGACTGTGAATAGTAGACAAAGAGTTGTCTAAAAAGCGACTCGTTGACTGAGTATGGATATGAATAGCTATCTCTCCCCAGCTCGAAGCTTAAGAATTTGCTAATATGACATGGGATGAGATTGTTTTCTACTCTCGGAATCTTCGACGGTACAATCAGAAATTCAAGGAAATATTTGACTTTGATCTAATCAACTACTCTCGGTGATGCCGTCATTGTCTTGAACGGGATTTCATGACCAACGACGCTGCAAATTCAACTTACAAGAACAGTAAAAGACTCTCAACTTAAATTCACATCGGGCATAAATGATATCGGCAATTGACTGATATGGATCATCAACGTCCCATCAGCCGTTAAATCCACTGTTGTAACCGACAGTTGGGACCATCTCGGCGGTTTTCTTGGAGCCGTAAGTGGATATCGTTTGGCGCGGCTGGCGTCATAGGGGTCTTTAGCACCAAATCTTTCTTTCAACTTCGCTTCCTCTCAAACTTCTTCCTCAATCATAGTTATTTCACTCGATTAGGCATATTTCTTTGATAACTTGACTCTAACTGGCATTTCGAGACGTTTTATTAATTTAAGGGATTGGCGACAAGTGCGTCATCGGCGTCATGGTAAGGGCGGTAGATCGCGGTGTTTGCAACACAGCGATGAGAGACGAGGAAACACCACTATTGGGATCGTCACTCTCTAGACCCCAGAAGAACTCTTGGAAGGAACGTTTACAACATGATGTCTCTTGTTCGTGGGCCGATGCCGTGTTACTGGCCTGTTACGTCGTGACTGGACTTCTCGACAGCTCCTCTATCCAGGTCTGGGGAACATTCGTGTCTATGCAGACAGGTCAGTAACTTGTAGCAACGACTAAGAAGATGGATGGCTAATAAGAACCAGGAAACACTGTATATGTCGGTCTCGGGCTGGCAAGCCTTGCGACATCAGCTCCTGGTCCTCGTCTATACAAATCCGCCCTTTCTATTGCATCTTTCTGTCTCGGCTCGTTCCTATTCGCCCGCTTCCATCGGCTTGTCTCCCCTAGACGTCGATGGGTTCTCTGTGCATCTTTCACAATCCAGGCCCTTCTCACAAGCGCAGCTGCGTTGATCGTTACCCTGCGACCGCCCGGTCCAAACACGGATAGCCTGGCATGGAACGTATTGGTGCCGATCGCCCTCATGGCCTTCCAGAGCTGTGGACAAGCTGTCGCAAGTCGAGCTCTGAAGCAGAACGCTCTTATCAGCCTGGTCCTGACAAGCGTGTATTGCGACTTATTCTCCGACAAAGAGCTGTTCGCATTGGACAACGTGTCGAGGAATCAGCGAGCAGCTGCGCCTACGCTACTACTTGTCGGTGTGATAGCCGGCGGGTTGTTTGCGCAAAGCTCTGTCGGCATTGCGGGAGCCTTATGGATCGCCGCAGGGTTAAAGCTGTGCATGGTAATTGCATGGTTTCTATGGCGCTCAGAGGAAGAAACGGAGGAGAATTAGTTCCGGATTTGCGGAATTAGAGGCATAGTTATTATCAGTTATTTCGAGTGAACGTCATCATGCAGCTTCAACGGTCAAGTGACCTGAAGTCGAATTGGCTGATGCAACATTGGTGACAGACTGGTTGATCATGGACAGGGACCTCGGGGTTTGTAAACATCTTGCCGATGGTTTAGTCAGACTGGAAGAAGATACTTCAGTATCAATCGATCAGCTGGATACAACACAGACCCGAAATCGGACATCCTCTACCAAGATTCGCGATGTTGGAGAGGATGCGCCGTGGTTGGGTTGCATGGCGCAGACTCAATTCGTGACCTGTTTCTCCTTCGGGATACCTATCTAGGAATTACAGGCTCTAATAGGACAACACGGCTTACTGTGATTTGCGAACAAGCAAATGATCTTCAATGTCTAGGATGTTCCCCCAAAGACAGGTCCTCCGGCTTCGGTACTCCACCGGCCGGCACGGAGCCGAAGAATCCTGCCTCTTTGGGAGAGCAACTCGGAGCTGTGGAACATAGAGAAAAGGGCCGTCAAGCGAAAATTCGAGACGATGAGAAACAGAAATTGAGTGATTGGTAATGATAGAGACGCAAATTATGAAGGAAAATTGTTGTATAATCGGGCCATTTTACGGCGGCTACTGTTGAAAAATTGCGAAATTCATCACGCATTGGGCACCTCTTGTTCTATTATTCCCTGTCTTATGCCCCCGCTTGGTTTGGGTTGGGGTGGTCTTTTTGTGTCACAGTCACAGTTTACGTACTGAAGGGTTAGAGTAGGATTGCCGAAGCGGAGCCTCCGCCTGTTTTGATAAGACTTTTCTTTCATATGGATGCTTCGAGTTTTTCGTATGCCTTGGAGTTAGAATTTTACCTTATTGGATTGGACCGTCGTCAGCTCGGATATACGAGTGAAGATCATAAAGAGTGGGGAGACAAAAGCGAAAAAGACACAAAAGATCGTTTGTATTCCCGCGATGAGCGCGGGTAGAGTTACCTTGGAGCTTCTGCATTGAATTCACTGTTACAGTTACAGTTGCGGGTGTAACCGTTTGAAGATGGAGAGTGTCGTGTTGTGTTGCTGTGCTGCGCTGCTTAGTGAGAGTGATGAGTTGTTCAGGCCGGAAGAGGTGAGCCTACAGGACAAGACAGCGCATTAATACGGGATGCTTACGAGGTTGACTAATGAAGGAAAGGTGCATTCGTTACTTGCTCAAGATAACCATCTTCAAGCAAACAAGAGTCAAAGAGTACCCCATTCATGGCGCCACTGCGAGTCATTGGAGCAATCCGAGTGGTGATCTGATCGGCGGGCGGTGGATCCTCTGTTGTTTTGCCGAGCGAGCGAGCGAGGGTGAGTGAGTTATTAGCGGATGGATGCATTGAGTAGGTAGACTCAGTCAGTGAGTGTCAGAATGTGAGAGAAGCCGTAGTAGCTGCAGATACATCTGCATCTGCATCCGCATCTGAAAGCGAAGCTTGTTAATAAAGTCAATGTCTCCCCCCGCATTTTGTTGGTGCTTGTCTCCCAAGTCCAAGACCAAGACCGATACCAAGACAAGACAAGAGTGTCTCGTGCTCATTGCTTGTACTACTCCTCGTCTCTTATTTCCAGGTCGTGTACAATTGCCAACCCGAAAAGAGTCAAGAGTGCAAAACGCCCAGAAAAAATAAACTCGAGCCATTGGTACACTTCCTCTACCTTAAACCAACTTACCCACCCACTTCTGCATTACTTCCGATCCGATTGACTCCAATCACTCACTGGGAAGGCGCATCGCTCCGCTTCAATTCCCTTTATTACATCCAGCTCATCTCCTTCGTCCCTTCCCTTGGGGCTCCAGGGTCTCAGTCTGGGTCTGGGTCTAGGTCTGAGATATATATTCTACATTCATCCATATATATCCGTCCGTAACCCGGTCTTGATCATTCTTGGCATTCATCTCTCATCTTTCATCTCTATTCTTTTGTCAAGTCCATATCTTATCTCAATAGCAACAACCATAAACAAGCCACCCTCGGCTCTTGACGGTGTCACAAGACGAAACATTAACCGATCATCTATTCGCCCCCTCCTGCCGATCTCAACTCTTCTCGATCCGTTCCATCGACAACAATATCCAAAAAACCAAAACACCATCTTCTTCCATCTCGTCGCATCACGGCCACTGAGTAGCCACAGGCCGGATGTCGAGCGACGTGGAAATGGAAAAGGTGCCCATTCCTGTGCCGTTCCCTCCTCCGGCCGCTGTTGACGATGTCGATTCGACTCTCGGAAAAGACGCTGTAAATACCCTCCTCACCCTCCTGCGCAACTTGTGCGCATGCCACCAACGCTGCAAATACTAACACTACGTCTCCCAGGACGCCAACGTTCACTATGCCGAAGCTATCAGCGGCCTCGAGAAGCAACTTCTCAGGAAACAAGACCTACGTATAATCCCACTATCAGGCGCCATCTACTTCTTGTCCTTCCTCGATAGAACGAATATCGGAAACGCCATGATCCTCAATTCGTCGACCAACGACGACATGCAGCGTGAGACCAAGATGACAGACCATCAGTTCGTCATCTCCCTCATGCTATTCCTCGTCTCATATGCGGTGTTCGAAGTTCCAAGTAACATACTTCTCAAGAAATTACGGCCCAGTCGTTGGCTCGCTTTTCTCATGTTTTGCTGGGGTGCAATGACGATATTGACGGCTGCCACCAAAAGCTTCGGTAGTGTCACGGCCGTGCGGTTCCTACTGGGTGTCTTCGAGGCTGGGTTGTTTCCTGGGTTGGTATACTACTTGACGTTTTGGTACAAGCACGACGAGCGTAGTGTTCGGTAAGTCTCTCCGTGTCCAAGCCTTATCAGCTGTCGGGGCGCAACGGTCGAGATACTAACTACGACCCTTTAGCGTCGCATTCATCCTTGCATCTGCCACTCTAGCCGGCGCATTTGGCGGCGCAATCGCCTATGCCATCGGCCACATGAATGGCACAGCTGGTCTCTCTGGCTGGCGTTGGCTCTTCATCATCGAGGGCATCCCATCTTGCCTGGCCGCCTTCCTCGTTCTCTTCTTCCTACCCGATTGGCCGGAGCGGGCAAAATGGTTATCTGAAGCAGAAAAAGATATGGCTATTCACCGGATGTACCATGAGGGTTCTAAGGAATCGCATCCCACGATGACCTGGGCAGAAGCCAAGGCAACATTGATGGACTGGCGACTGTATGCGCATTATGCGATTTACTTTGCGTCTGGGCCGGCGTTTGCGAGTTTGAGCTTGTTTGCGCCATCAATTACCGTTGGATTGGGATATTACGACTTAAAAGCACAGTTGATGACCGTGCCTCCGTGGGCCATTGCTTATCGTAAGTTTTAACCTGCTTTCTTGGCTTTAAGAAGTGAGCAAAACTGACCGTATACGACAGTCTGCCAGGTTTTGGTGGCTTGGTCGGCGGACCACTTCAACGCCCGAGGCGTTCACACAGCCGTGGCTGCAGCCGTGGGTGCTATTGGCTTCATTATATCGGCTGTGGTCCCGGCCGACGCCTATGCAGCCCGCTACGGAGGTTTAATATTGGCAACGGCCGGCTCTTTCGCATGCATGCCACCCATGCTGGGATGGCTCAGCTCTAATGTGTTCACGACGGCTTCTACCGGTCTAGCCATTGCCCTCAACGTTAGTCTCGGCGGGGTTGGACAGATTCCTGGTGTCTGGATCTACCAGACGTCACAACGAGAAGGGGGATTTACAACAGGGCACTGGGTCAATGCAGCTCTGCTGCTGTTTGTGTCAGTTGTGGCCCTGGGCCTGAGGATGTTCTATGGTTGGAAGAACCGGAAGTTGAGAGAATATGCAGAGAGCGTCGCAGTGCCTTATCGTTGCTATAAGTTGTAGGAAGACATGCTCTTCGTGATACGTTGTGTTATGAATTATTCAATGAGTTCAAAAGTAGAGTCTGTTCTATTGCGTGATGACGATGTTTGGGTTCTTGCACCGGAGAATAATGAATGGTTCTGGCACGATGAACTCCAATGCTACCCAGCTGAATCATGTCTCAATGAGTCAATCTGTTGAAGAAAGAAGATTCAGGAACCAGTGACCCGTCCATGGGGAACTACCTAGGGGAGGAAATAAAACTCGGGGCCTTAAGCCTAACTAATAAAAAGATTTAGGTAACTTAGTATAAGTTAAGGATACCTTTTGTGGAGTTTATTTTGTCACCCTAAACTTAGGTCTCGTGTTTTCTTGCTCCCTGAGGACTACCAATGGTCTGAAGTCAAATCGCTTGTCTCCAAGTGCCGAGATCCTGATGGAGACAAAGTTCCAGGAACGGCATCCAACCAACAAGCATCAAATCAGGGTTTCTGTAGTAGTCTCGAAACCCCTGGTCAGTATAGCTGAGACACCAACCATCATGAGAGTTTAAGCTGGGAGATATCAGAAATGATGCTAGCCGCTTAATGACCTCACGAGCTTCATTTAGGCAGCGGAAATATCAGAACTCACTGCCGCGTCACGGCGCTTATGAGGAAGGCTAGAGCACATGGCCCAAGAAGACGTTTCGGGCGTCCCATCGGTGTGCCTACTGACAACACCATGAACCCTGGCTATGGTGGTCTAGACCCTCGCACAGAGCTTCTCACAGCCCGGATAAGCTAAGCCATACTGTACAGTACAAACCCAGGACGGATGAGGGATAAGCAGTATTGTCCATGCCGTTTCATCCAATTCTGCGATGAGTATTTTTGCTTTTCAATACGGAGCATATGTTCCCATTAACAGGTGAGCTATAAGCCCTGGCAAGACGTTGGGTTCCGAGGAAATCCAATCAAGAGGGAATATGAGCAATCTTGGCATGTTGGTAATATGCAGCCAGGGTCTGAAATAGAGATCCAGACCGGGCCAGCAGGTAACATGGCATAAAGCCAAGTAACGTCCGAGTGGTGTTGTACTGTCAGCAGCCAACCCAGCCTAGCCCAGGTCGAATCTAAAAGCCTGTTTTGAGACTGGCTGCATTTGTCTAGGTATGTATGTAGATGGAAGACAAGAGATAATAATAGATAGACGGTGGATGAAACTGAGTGGTTGTACAGTATCAGGTGCAGTATCGTCATGATCAGCATCTCGTGTCAACATTTTCCATTCTTGTCAAAAGTGAAGCAATCCAGCTGAAGGAGAATAAGTGCTGTGATACAGGTGGCTTTCCCTGACTCGTTGGGGAACGGATCTACCTTGGGGTGATACGACGGATATGAAAAGGAAAAAGTAATGATGTGAAATAGTGTTACAGTTACGATGGACACGAATATCAGTTTGTGGAGCGAGTCGAGTGAATCTGGAGATGGGGGCTCGAGTTATCAATCAAAACTCCATAAATAGTCGGGTTTGCATTCAGACAACAGACAGGCCATCACGAGAAACTCATTCACTCATCTCTTGCAAGAGATTAAAGTCCACTGATGGATGGTTCCGGCCTGGGGAACCTTGCAGTGAGTGAGTGAAGCTCCAAGCTTGTTGCTGTGATTTCATTCTCAGCAGCCAACTCACTGGAACAGCCGCCACCAAGCCAAGACATCGCAGGGCTCTAGGTCCTCTAATTGGGCGCTGGCATCTCCAGATATCCACTCTTAGAGAGCGTGATGTCGTCACCAGCGTCATAGGGCGGAGATCTCGCCAGGAGCACCATTTACGTACGAGCAACGAATTATCTCCAGTGCAGTACATACATGCATGGATTGTTTATCGAGTCGTTGCTGTAGTCATGATGGATTCCTCTAAAAAAGAAACGGCGGATGTAGGTATGAGGTATTAGCCTCGAGATATGCGCAAATGATAAGGTACCGTAAACCGATGATGCCACTAACAAGCGACGAAGCACATGCATGGCATGGCACCCTAGCGCGGAGCATGGGTGACAAGAGGTGATGCCATCATCATCATCATCATCGCTGCGTGGGTGTGCACCTGGACCCCTTCTCTCTCACCTTTTCTTTTTCTCAGCCTACGGTGATTTGTGTCATTCCGTTAGGGGGGAGAGGGCGCTGGCAGCTTTGTATCTTTGTATTGTAAGTGTCGTAGTCAGTGACGGACGGGATGCATTAGTACTCCGGCGGCTGTGACGATGTCGCGGGGACTTTGGTACTGATTGACGTTTTGGGTGACTTCATCGTGTGTCTATCATCTACTATTACACGCCCACGACTTCGAATAGAGTCTAGTCGACACGTTTTATTTCAACATGAGGCTCTATCCTTAACTCGACATCTCAACTGTTTATTTTCTTTTTATCTTACTCATCTGGAGATTTTCTGTTTACGAGCTGAACTTTGTCAACGTCACAGCGAGTCTCTTCATTGGATACCCCGCTATCACCACTACTGACTCACTGGACTGGCCTGGACTGGACTGTATTTACCTCGTCGTCTATTTAGCTTTGACATCCATCGTCATTCACCTTCGCTCGCCAGCATCGTCTTACAAATCCTCTGTTTCAGCTGTAACCATACACTCAGCACATTCAGGGCAATAGTCTCCGAGATTGACCTCTCTTGTTCACTCAGTGACCTCACTACCCCCAGACCAGTGGACAGTTATTCGACTGCCCGGGCTCCTAGCAATTTCCTAGGACACTGAATTTGGCCTACAAACCCCTGCGTTTTCCAAGGTTTCCCGCTGGGAAACGCCCCCCATCCCCACCCGATCCGCCTGGCGTTGGCCTAGAATCCTGCTAAAATCTGGGCTGCCACTCCAAGTGGGCTGCCCACCCTTTCCCTTTCGTCACCTCTCAAATCTCGGTCCTCCCCCCGTCAAAAAGAAACCAGGCTCTACCTAACCTTACCTGACCTTGCATTGCCTCGAACAAAAACAAGCAACCAGCAGCGCAAGGCACTTTTATCCCAATCGATTTCCTTTTCCTGGTTTCTTCCATTGGGACGACTTCTCTTTTCTCTTTCTTCTCCATCCTCCAACATCTGTGTCACTTTTCGACTCACACACAACGTTAACCATTACTCATCATCTCTTCACTGACTACTCGACTTTCTACGACACCCTCACATCAAACGTCAAACAAGAAACGCTCCCGTCCGCTAGAGTAGACAGACAGACCTGCTAAACCCCGCATCGTCCACAGAGCAGTCCAATCCTGTTTTCCTGCTTCCGTCAAGAAATCTATCCCACTTCGTCTTTTATAATAATATTGCCCGCGCTTTGCGACACACCAAACAAGGCTCACGTTTACGATCACGACTCGCTACGACTCCAAGACGGAATAGCTCTAGGCTAGACCGGCGAACCCGTTTTTAGTTGCACTGCACACTAGAAGCAACTACTACTCTCAAAGACGTCCAATCGCCCGAATACTTGCTACCAAAGTTCGCTCAAGGCCTCACGACTTTTTCTCTCAAAGGCGACTGTCGCGCCTAAGCGACAATTTCTCCAGCCATGTCTACCATTCAGCAACTCAAGAACTTTATCCGGCACGGTATGTTCTAGCCCACTATTCTGCCAAGTTTGGCCCGTTTTTATGAGACGCTGACAATGGTTGCTTAGGCAAGCAAGCTCGTGCCGCTGCTCCTGACGAGTCTCCACGCAAGACAGAACAGCAACAGGCGCCCACAGTCCAGCACAAGACAGCATCAGATCCCAGTAACACCCACTACGCAAGGGCACAGGAGCCCGGAAACGAATATGGCGATGACGATTACGCCCGCAGCAAGAGCAAGAAGCGCGTCGACGATGAGAAGCTCGCCAAGCTTATTGCTGAGGAGAATGCCAGCAAGAGCAAATTCCCTCGTTACCCCGGCCTCGAGCGTTGGGAACTCGTCGACAAGATGGGTGATGGTGCCTTCAGCAATGTTTACCGTGCCCGCGACACAACAGGTCAGCAAGGCGAGGTCGCCATCAAAGTTGTACGCAAGTACGAGATGAACAGTATGCAGGTAAGCAAACACTGGGGTCGTCTGTGTCTGTCGCCCTATCTCCTTTTGTTTTGATGTTTCTTGTGCTTTTCATTCGTCTGCTTTCTCTTTCTTTGGGTCCCCATTTACCAACACGGGGTTGTCCCCTCTCATAGGGCAATAAGCATTTACATCCAGACTTCAAGAAAGTCCCGAAGGCAGCAGAGGTGCGAGAAGATTCTCCTTACGTCACTATTTATTTCCTATGTCCAGGCCGACGCTGTCCCCGTCTAAAGTCAGTTCCTGCTGTCTTGATGGCGGGGGTGGCCAGCCTTTAGACTCCAGGGCTTGCGAGGCAGAATACTGACACTTCTGCAGCGATCAAATATCTTGAAGGAGGTCCAGATCATGCGACAACTTGACCACCCCAATATTATCAAGCTCGTCGAGTTCTCCGAGTCGAGGCAATATTATTACATCATTCTGGAGCTTGCCCCTGGTGGTGAACTTTTCCACCAGATCGTCCGCTTGACATATTTCAGCGAGGAGCTTTCTCGACACGTTATTGTTCAAGTGGCCAAGGCTCTTGAATATCTCCACGAGGAGAAGGGTGTTGTTCATCGGTATGTCATGAGTCTGTTTTGGGCCGCTTGATGTCAGAAGTGGTGATGCCCCTCTTGACGTCATTCGCCTCTGCACGGCCTTGGAATCATCACTAACATCCCTACCAGTGACATCAAGCCCGAGAATATTCTGTTTGAGCCTATTCCTATAGTGCCCTCTAAGCACCCGAAGCCTAAGCAGCCCGGCGATGAGGACAAGGTTGACGAGGGCGACTTCATTCCCGGCCAAGGTGCCGGTGGTATCGGACGCATCAAGATCGCCGATTTTGGTCTCTCCAAGATTGTTTGGGATAACCAGACAATGACGCCTTGTGGAACTGTTGGCTACACAGCACCTGAGATCGTAAAGGATGAGCGATACTCCAAGTCTGTCGATATGTGGGCGCTAGGATGTGTGCTATACACTCTGCTTTGCGGTTTCCCGCCATTCTATGATGAGAGTATCGAGGTGCTCACTGAGAAAGTTGCCAAGGGCCAGTACACTTTCTTGTCTCCATGGTGGGACGAGATCTCAAAGTCTGCCCAGGATCTTATCAGCCATCTCTTGACTGTGGATCCTGAGAAGCGATTTACGATTACCGAGTTCCTCGCTCACCCGTGGATTGCCGGAAACGGACCTACTCCCCGAGATGAGATGAGGAAGTCTGATGGTATGCTCAAAGCCTTTGATGCTACGAAATTCGAAGAGTCTGGCAAGCGATATGACTTCCGATCTCCTGGCGCTGTTAACCTGCGTGAGGTCTTCGATGTCGGTTATGCTGTTCATCGTCAAGAGGAAGAGGGCAAGCGAAGGGCGCAGATTGGCCCCAAGGGCACACCAGCACGCTTCCTCGGCGGCCTCAACGAGGAAGACGAAGACGATGATGTCATGCAGATCGATGGTCAAGATAACACCGGCGCCAAGCCCAACGCAGCGACTCAGGCCCTTGAGCAAAGTATGCGAAAGGCCAATATCCGAGACCAAGAGCAACAGCAACAGTCTCGGGGTCGTGAGCGTGAGCGTACTGAGAGAGGCTACGGCCAACATTCGGCAACAGTTGCCGCGGCTGCTCGACAGCAGGTCCGTGAGCGCAATCGCCAGCGAGGAGCATTCGAGCTCAACCTGGACAACGCTACCCTTCTGGGCAAGCGAAACAAGAAGGTTCCTGTCATGGGGGTATAGGAGCCCAATGATGTAGACTCAGCCGATGATTCGGGAACAACAACACCCAAGCGTTTGAGCCTCGATGGCACAGTGTCGCCTAGGCCAACGCCTCTGCGGCGGCACTCCTCAGAGCTTCCTTTTATGTTTGAACAACATAGATGACTTAGAGACCATGGGCCTGAGGTGTGACTGTTTCACATTGACTATTGTTTTTGGAAAGATGGAGGATGATATGTGACACCAAGATATTGTCACGGGGGTACATTTATTCGGTATCCATGGCAGAGGAGGAAACAGATTATTTGAAGTGCATTCAGGCGCAAGGAGTACCGGGTGATTGGCACGGCTAACGATACAGCCCGGGTCATTTTAGGACTCAAGACTATTTGCAACGTTTTATGTCATGTAATATTTGTCAAAGGCCAGGGGCTATGTATGATTCAGCAGGGCTCTTGTCTCTTGGTATTTATAATCTCTCTCTGTGTGTATCTTTGTTGATGTCGTGAAGAGAGGTTGTGGCAACATTGCGTTGTGCAATATCGATCATCCATAGGTTAGGAGTTTGGGGGTCTCGTTTACGTATTGAATGACACGGTTTTAAGACTGAAGATATACTGGCTTGGATGTTAGAGACGTATGTTTATCGTCAAGTTATACAATTGGACTGATTCAGTACTCCTCGTCGCCTTCTTCCTCCTCTTCAGTGTCCTCGTCTGAAACTGGGTAATGCGAACCATTGTTCTTCCTCAGGTCACCACCAGACGGGACATTTCCACCTCTCCTTGACTTTGCCGGGTCAGCTTGATGCTTTCCCTTGGTACAGCCTTTGCGTCCACCTAATTTGTCACAGCACGTCCAGCGGAACCCACCCATCGGGCATCTCCTCTCTCATCTCAGGCGTATCAATTTCCCCATGACAATCCTCATCATGATCCGCCCAGAAATCCCCCGTGTCATCAACATCAAGATCCCCTAACGCCATCAGCCTCATCGCAACGAACATGCACAAAAAGTAGGGGCTGGTTAACGTACCTGGATGGTAACGACACGACGTCTCAGTGTTATCTTGGTGGGTAAACGCCTGGTCACACTGAACACAGACAAACAAGTCGTTCATGGCTTTGCGCTTGAGGCCGGTGACTGGATTGTCTGCGGCTTTGAGGCGACGGTAATGGTTTAGGGCGCGGGCTTTGACGGAGGGGTCGTCGAGGAGGGCGAGGAGGATTGCACGGACATGTTGCTCCGGTGCGAGATGGACCATTTCTTGTTCTAGTGTGAAGGACATTTGGCGATTGGGATGTTTTTAGTAGGAGATGAAGTGAGTTGGATGAGTGTGTAAGTGAAGTGACGTCTTGAAGTTGGAGTAGTGTAGTTGGGAGCTTGTTTGATTAGTGTCAGTGTGATATGCAGGGGTAAGTAGAGAGATATGGTCACAACTTCACAGATTCTTCCAAGCTGACAATCACAATAACGAAGGAACTTGATAGAGTTTTGATGAATTGGAATTTGGGAGACATCGGGTTCTTGCTGCCTAAACATCATCGTCGTCGTCATAATCCTCGAGATCACTTGGCTCTTCGCCCGACGCTCTCCTTGATTTAGTTGGATCAGCTTCATGCCGCCCATGGTAACAGCCATCCTCATCGCCAGGTTTATCACAGCAATTCCAAACAAATCCTTCGGGGTATTCCACGCGCATTGACTCTGTGTCTATAGTTCCGTGACAGTTCTCATCGTGGTCTGCCCAAATATCGGCATCATAGTCAGGCTCAAGCTCTCCTGAAACGTACATGTCAGCTCTCGTGTTTCTGAGCTGAACGCGTTAATTTCTTACCCCAATGGTAGCAGCAAGCGTCTTTATCATTGTTGTCGTTTGTGTAAAAGGCCTCGTCACATTGGACGCAGATACTAAGCTCATCTTCCGCTTTGCGTTTGCGTGTATCGGAAGAATCATTAACAGCTTCCAGGGTCTCAAAGTAGCTGCGTGCACGGGATCGGGTGTCAATATCTTGGCACAGAGCTCGGAGAATGGCACGGACTGTAGCGTCTGGCGCTTGTAACATGTCTTCCAACGAAGTCATGATAGATGAACCAATTGGATGCAAAGATGGCGTTTGATTGTTTGGTTTTGTGGGAGTAGAAAGCTGAGTTTGCTCTTCCGTGTCCTGGTCTTTTTAGTGCCACGGATTGACATGGTTGCTTTTTTGCCGGGTTGAAACGCCAAATATTGAGACATGCCTGCTCGGGCACTTACATGCCCAATGACTAGAAGGTTCTACGGCAGATCAAGTCCAGCCTTTTCGTTTTATTCCCGTGAAGCCTGATCGGATGGCGTTTGATATTGGCGATATCCTTGACTTACATCGCTTGGCTGTGAGACAGGCTTGATGAGGTAACTCACTTGCAGTCAAACATTGATATATATGTATCTGTTTGCAATGCACGACCAAACGGAATGTGGGCTCAGCTCATGCTTTGAGTCTATCCGTTTATTTGTCTTTATTTCTTTCTTTGTCTTTAGCTTGTTTCTTATCCTTTCCTCCTTTCCTGATTCCACACGTTCCGTGGACCAAAGTCAGTTAGCAAATTGAGCTACAGCTCGACTTCAGCTTCATCTATTTCATCAATCACAATCATTCCAATAATACTAAGCTTCATTTGTCTATTCTCCTCTAAGATTGGGATTGCTGTAAGTTTCCCAATCCCATGTTTGTCTGTCGGCTGTTGATCTAATCGCTAATCTTGTTAGTCTCCGGAAGTTTCTGACGATGCTCTTCATACTCAGATACCTCATTCTATTTGCAACCTTGGTTGCTTGTCAAGAATATGGCCAGCCTGGAAACACCAGCTGTGTCTCCGGAGCTCACATCATTGTGGCCAGAGGCAGTCTGGAACCTCGGGGGCCAGGCATCATCGGAGCAGTTGCTCAGCAAATCCACCAAAGAATCCCTCACTCCGATACAATATCTCTAGACTACCCAGCTATCTACAATCCCTATCAGCCTTCGCAGATGGAGGGTGTGGCGGCTCTTTCTGTTGTGCTGGCGCAGTATGTTACGGTCTGTCCCAAGACAAAGATTATTCTACTTGGGTTCTCGCAGGTCAGTCCATCTAGACATCACCTTGAGACCATTAAGAAGCGTATGTTTATTAATTACTGACTCTTCTATGCAGGGCGCCCATGTCATTGCCGATGTGATGTGTGGTGCGAGTTCCATCGGGTTCCTCCCTACCAAGCCTTCACCTTCAGCCATTACCAATAACAGTCAGTCAAAAGAGCCACAAATCTTCGTCACCCATACATTCTAACCCCCTTCAAGTTGCAGCTGTTGTTCTCATGGGGGATCCAAGCACTACCAAAGGCCAACCCTTCCATGTTGGAAGTAGTGTTGGTAATGGGGTAAGTCCTCATGAACACACTGGACACAATCGGCAGCTGACTAGAATTGCTAGATATTTCCCCGTCAGAAACCCGAAGGATGCAAATGTGTTTCGGACAAAACAATCTCTTTCTGTGACGCCGGTGATCCTTTCTGCGAGGCTGGTGGTCATGACTTGAGAACTCATATGAACTACGTAACTGCATATGGACATGCTGCTGCCGACTATGCTGTTGGCATGTTCCACAGAGCCTAGCATCCTAGCTTGGCTGGGTCTTCGTCTTTTGGCGTTGGTATAGTAACAGATAAGACTGGAATCGATCTATCAAATATCGTCGCTAACCTAGCAACATATCCTGGATTGCTCAGCTACAGTTGAAGTAATTTGTGATGTAAGTGGTCTGTACTTACTGCACAACTCTGTTATTAGGAATAGGGGTAAGCTCCCATGGATTGTTAATGGCCATGATAAACCTAGCAAGCCAACTACGTCAAGTACAATCTTGGCACCAAATAGCCCAGTTCTCAAACATGTTTACTCCGTAATTATATTGTAATTCTAGCAAACATTGATATCCAACTCCAACCCCAGCAAGTTGACAGAAACTAGTGTTGAGTCTCCCCACTTGCACAAACACACAATATAATGATATAAAAGGCAGAGTTGGCTGTTTTAGTGCGGTCGTTGGACATGTCATATATAATTTCTGCTCATCCATGCTCTATAAATTACTGTCTCCCCTATATAAACCCGTCTGTTGTCGAGTTACGCAGACTATAGTGACCGAATCAAGAAACAAGTCCGATACCATCGATGTACCCCAGTCCCTGCAGCCGAACCGCAAAAGTTGCAAAGATGCGATTTGACAGTCGAGGTCCACGGTTTTGCTTTTTCCAACGTTCACTAGAGCTTCTAGAGTGCGGTTGTGGGTCTGCCACTGCTACGCCGCTGCTCTACTATCTTGAAGATGGATATTAGATCGTGAGAGAGGTTACTATCACTCTCTGCCACTGTCGGTCATCGCGTTCTCATTCTGTAGCTGCCACTGCTAGTTCGCAGTGACAGTGGCCAAGGTGAGGATATATATTCTCTTCTACTCTTTCATCCGCTCTTCTTCTTTTCCTCCCCTCTTCACTCTCATCCTCACTTCCAATCCATCATCCCAACTATTCACCTTCAACTATCCATCACCACATCAACATATCACAGACGACCTCTTTACTATCTCTCAAGAAGAACCTTTTCTGAACTTCTGCAAATAGTCGAACCCAACAAACGCCTTAATCATGATTTCTTTCATGTTCGTTCTGAGCTTCCTGATGGCTCTGGTCTCAGCCAACTCGACCACCGATGCCATTACTTGCGCCAAGGGCGCCCACCTCATCGTCGCTCGTGGTAGCCTTGAGCCAGAGGGACCTGGAGCGATGGGTATCCTTGCGGAGGAGATCATCAAGCTGATCCCCGGTTCGGACATGGAGGCTCTTGTGTATCCCGCCCTCTACAATGAGTACGTCGAGTCTCAGACAGAGGGCGTCCGCACTATGAACTCCGTGATCAACAACTACGTGAAGAACTGCCCCGACACTGACTTGATCCTCATGGGTTACTCCCAGGTAAGTACTCATCCTCACATCAGTAAACTGCCATTAATGCTAATGATATCCAGGGAGCCCATGTTACTATGGACACCATGTGCGGCGCCAGCTCAGATGGCTTCCCTGGTACTCTCTCCCAGCCTGGGTACATCGCCGACAATGGTAAGATACACTCACTCAGTTGATACTTGAAAGGTTGCTTACTTTTGGCAGTGGCGGCTATCATTGCCATGGGTGATCCGAGTCTCACCGCAGGGCAGCCATTCCTTGTCGGAACGAGTGAAGGCAGTGGTGTAAGTCTTCACAGATAAGTACATCATAAACACAACTAACATCTTCCAGATCTTCCCACGCAACCTTCCCATCGGCTGCAACCAGATCGCCAGTAAGACGGTGTCCATCTGCGATAAGGGCGACCCTTACTGCGAGGCCGGCGGTAAAGATCTCTCCGTACACTTGAGCTATATCAAGAACTACGGAGAGTTCACCGTCGGCCACGTAGTCAAGGCGTGGAAGTCCCGTAACTGAGATCGCTTGGGTCACTTCTTGAGATTGGAGTTTGGGAGTAGAGCAGATCATTTTCGGATTGACGCATAGAGAGTGCTTTGGAAATACCACCAGCCAGAGATGCTGAGTTTGGCTACGTAGAGATACTGGATTGCTCTCACGAATAAAGACACTTTTGCAAAGTACTATTGTGAGGTGAATAAATTGCCTAATCTCTAAACTTGCAATAAAAAGTCAAAAATCTCTCAGTCTACATTCTTTGTCGTCTTATCATTAGAAACGAAGGAAATAAAAAAAACATCCATCTAGGGTATCATGCGATGCGTAGCTGTAACCAAACTTTAACCCCATAAGCGTAACCATATCCCATATCCATGCCGTGTGTCGTGTCGTGTCGTGTCGTGTCGTGTCGTACTGTGCCGCCGTAGCCCGAAACTCCAAATCATTCCCATGTCGCTCAATCTCATTCATCGCATGTCATCTCAGCTCAGATCAGTTCATCTCAATGCCATCCATCGTCTGGAATGCTCCATCCCGCCTTTGCAAATAGAGGCACCGTTTCTGGATATGATAGCGTAAAGGGCAGCCAGAAGGTCTCCCTGATAAGGTGCGGTATCCTCTCGGGCCGCAGGGCATGCTCAGGCAATCTGCACTGGATGATTCTCTTGAGGATCCAGATCATCTCGTGAGCCAGATTCTCCTGCCTGTCGTGGTCCGAGTGCTTGAGCTCATTAACATAGGTCCTCGCAAGCTCATCAGCCAGCCCCGCTAGGGACAACATGGAGACGGGGAGGCTGCCAGCGGTGCCTATTTTTAGGGCATGCATCTCGTTGAAATCGTAGGGAAACCTCACGCGGATCTGCTGGAGGATGCCGTCAGAGGTCGCGACGCCCCAGACGTGTCGCTGGCGCGGGATGGGGATCATGCCCTGCGCCCTGGCCCAGCACTTTTGGTTCTCGCGCGTGTGCTCGGGACACACGATGCTCACTCTGTACGGCCTCGCCTCGTAGCCGTAGTAGACCATGGCCGCGAGACCGCTAACGGCGTAGGGGATGTGGCTAAAGCGCTGGGCTATCATGTCGACTACCTCTGACACGGCCTCGCGGTTCATTGAGCGGTCGTCGGAGAGGAAGATGGCTTCGTTGCTCCCCTGGTCCAGTTCCTGATCCTGATCCTGTTGATAGATAGTATGTATACCATGCTTCTTCTGGTTCAGCTGCTTATTAGACGCGTTTAGTCGGGTATCAACAACATTGCTGCGTTTACGTCTCTGTTTCTGATTGTGGCCCTCCCTTTGCAGGGATGTATCCTCTGATGGAGTCCGTTGGCCTCTTGCTGGTGGGGGACGTCGTTGACGTGGAACCACAGGCAGAGGCTTCGATTGCTCACTAAGACGATATTGCTGCCCGCCTGACGCGTGTTGATCCTTGTGACTTCTTTTCTTTTTCGCCTCAACTCGCCTGGAAAAATCATTGTCTCCGTAACCATTAGTACCGTGGCAATGACTGCAATAAGCTCGCTTCTTGGGTAACCCAAATGGATTATTCCTCTCCCTTTTGTGTCGCTGTCGATTTCGGTCTGGCAGAGGACACTCTCCTCTGACTGATTCTATACGGACATCAGGTTCTGAGTCAGTGTCAGAATACTTGTCTGTCGCAAACCAACCGCGCAGGATTGAGCGTAGACTTGTTCGAGAACTCATGGTCGCTTGAACAAATCTACAACTCTCTCAGGCGAAAGGGAAGAGTAAGAACTCACCTGCTTTTATAGATATCAAATCTAAGTATGCGCTCTTCTAAGAATTTCCTGAACTGCTTTGAAGATATTCGGTGATGGCGAGCTGCTTCTGGTGGCTGTGTTTGTCTTTGTCTTCCGTGTGGCTCTAGATTAAACAAGCAATAGCTGCAAGTCGAAATATGCGGTTTGTCAATATGAGCGCAGCTTTCGAAAAGTGAATTAAAAAGAAGAAGAGAATTATGCCCAACTTTCGCCTTTATAGAGACGTCAAGAACTTTGTTCTACGAATGAGTAGCTGTGTTCAGAGTCCAGCAATCTTTAACAAACATAATACCCAGCACTTACAGCGCTCACAGCCTATGAACACCATGTACGATCATCTCCGCACATAAACTCACTGAACAAAAAAGTACACGCGGAATCAATTCATGCATGCTATCATGCTAACCTTGTGCAATAATTCGTGACATGGCTAGGTAGGTCTCTAAATCTTCCGTCCCGACCGCCAACGCCCATTAATCTTACAAGTCCATCCCGTGGCCTCGTTGTTTCTTGTTAAAGGTACCGATTCATTTCCTCTCGCTTATAACTCCTCTTCCACGTCCATTTGTTCACCGTTCACTTGCCCCTTGGACCCTGCTTGCCCCTCCTTCCTGGGCATCGTGGCCTCCTTGTCGATCATTTGTCTCGACACAGAGACAATGTTGTCCTCAATGAGCTCCTGGCCAACATCCTCGAGATGCTTCTTGGGATCCAACTTGCCAACGTAGCGAGTCTTGAGCTGATCCTTAGTCAGCTCAGTCTCCTCCTTTACGCGCTTCTCGTAGCCATCCGCCAATGAGACCAGCTGTTGCAGTCTGTCCTTGTTCTTGCAACCCTCGTGTCGGAAGTCGTCCATCTCCAGAGCTTCGGTCCAAACGTGCTTGTGCAGGTTCATGAGCATGTTCTCTTCGAGCGCGGTCTTGCGGTAGTTGATTCCGATCGAGTAGTAGTGTCGGTTCAAGCCGTGGATGAGAGCCTGGATCGAGGGCTTGTTGAGGTGGCCCAAGTTGCTAGTGCTCTGTCGGGGCTCTTGTCCAAGCATCAAGAGCTGGGGGTTGATGAGTCGGAAAGCGTCAATAACGACTTTGCCCTTCACGGACTGGATAGGATCAATGACGACGGCAACGGCGCGGGGGTTCAGTTGCTCGAATGACTGCTGTGTGTTGATATCAACGGAAGAAAGCCAGCAACCGAAACCGGGATGCGAGTGGTACCATCCGACGACCGACTCAGGTCTGTTGAATCCGTTAGACAATGACAACAAATGGGAGACCGTAATCAACTAACCTTCCTGTTTGCCTAAGCATGTCCATCATCTTGGTCTGGAAAACGGGGTCGACAGCCTCGACACTAACACCGGTACCGCTCTGAGGCATGGCAAACACGTCCATAACCTTTACAGTGAAGTCATCCACAAACTCGCCAAGCATCAGACCCATGACTTCCATGGGCACACCTGCGCGACCGTGTCGAAGCATTTTGAGTAGGGCAAGGGAGGAGATATAGACCGTTTCGGAGTTGTCAATCAGGTTTGTGTTGTCCTACAGTCGTAAAGGTCAGCGAAGCTCAGAATTGCATAACACACTCCATTAGGGAGCTCATATGAAGGAGATGATAGCTTACAGTGCCATGTGCAGCTCCTCCAAGGCCCATTCCACCGCCACCAAGTAAACTCCTGAAGCGCTCCATGATATCGACGGTGTGTATAAATGGCTATGGATGATCTGCGGGTAGAGTGATTTGTCGACAAAAATAGCGTGCAGGTGTTGATGTTGATGTGGGCGGTGATGGAGGGTTGGCGTTGCTATGATCGGAGCTTGGTAAAGGTAATTGACGTTGACGCCAGCCCGGCAGCCTGGGAGCCACAGCTGAGAAGCTTAGTCACGTCACGTGCTTGAGCTCGATCCGCTCTCTGTGGCGTACCTCATGCGAGGGACTCAAAGCGTGGCGCATATCAATATAAACGGAGGCGCTTCAATATTTATTCCGGTGTAAACGGGAGACTTTCAAGCTCCCGGGATGTGCTTCGCATCAGCCAGTGGTAAGTGAGTGGTTCTGCCCATTAGTTACATACTTACACTCAAAGATTCTTCTCGAAATCTTGTCACATTCTACCAAACTCTTCTCTAAACTTTTCCCTCGATCATGCTGAGCTCTCCCTGAGCAATTCCCTATCGAAATACATATCCAAGATCCTCTTTTCGAGCACAAATTTGATCTAACCCTTTCTTTTACACCCGCTTTCCGAGATTCGCGACTCCACGAGTAGCCGCAGTCATGGGCGACGATATACGTGTCGAGCTCGGCTCGGTTGCGCTCAATGGCTCATCCCCCAAGAAGGTCGCTTACTTTTATGATTCCGACATTGGTAACTATGCCTATGTTACTGGCCATCCCATGAAGCCTCATCGCATTCGGTTGGCGCATAGCTTGATTATGCAGTATAATCTCTACCAGAAGATGGAGATCTACGTGAGTCCATTCTTGGTCCCCAACTCAACTCTAGGTGTAAACGAGTTTGGAATGTCATACTAACAGACTGCAGCGCGCAAAACCTGCGACTCGAGGCGAGATGACCCAATTCCATACCGACGACTACATCGATTTCCTACAAAAAGTCACACCAGACAACATGGACAGCTTTATGAGAGAGCAAGGAAAATACAACGTCGGTGACGATTGTCCCGTTTTCGATGGTCTATTCGAGTTCTGTGGTATCAGTGCAGGTGGTAGCATGGAGGGTGCCGCGCGACTGAATCGCCAAAAGTGCGACATCGCCATCAACTGGGCTGGTGGTCTTCACCACGCCAAGAAGTGCGAGGCCAGTGGTTTCTGCTACGTCAACGGTTTGTCTCTCCCATATATCCCAAGTACCACGGTCTAACACGGTATCTAGACATTGTCCTCGGTATTCTCGAACTCCTTCGATTCAAAAAGCGGGTCCTTTACATCGATATCGACGTGCATCATGGTGATGGTGTTGAGGAGGCTTTCTACACCACCGACCGTGTCATGACGGTTTCTTTCCACAAGTACGGAGAGTACTTCCCCGGCACTGGTGAACTTCGAGACACTGGTATTGGACAAGGAAAAAACTATGCTGTCAACTTTCCTCTTCGAGATGGTATCACCGATGTGTCCTACAAGTCCATCTTCCAGCCTGTCATTGAGAATGTCATGAAGTACTACCAGCCCGAGGCTGTTGTTCTCCAATGCGGTGGTGACAGTCTGTCTGGCGATCGACTCGGTTGCTTCAATCTGAGTATGGACGGCCACGCCAACTGTGTCAACTATGTCAAGAGCTTTAATCTCCCGACTCTTGTTCTCGGTGGAGGTGGCTACACAATGCGCAACGTCGCTCGAACTTGGGCTTTTGAGACTGGTGTTCTTGTGGGCAAGGAGATGGACCGAACCCTGCCCTACAATGAATACTACGAAGTAAGTTATCTGATCCTGTGTTGACAAGCCCCCACTAACGTGGTACAGTACTATGCTCCCGATTTTGAGCTGAATGTGCGATCCTCTAACATGGAGAACTCCAACAGCCGAGAGTACCTTGAGAAGATCACTGCTTCAGTCATCGACAACCTTCGACAAACCGGACCTGCTCCTTCAGTACAGTTGCAAGATGTACCCCGAAAGCCCTTCGGCGGTATGACTGATGAGGAGGAGGCCGAGTTGGATGACCTTGATGAGGATGAGAACAAGGATGTTCGCATGACCGAACATCGTTGGGACAAGCACGTTGAACACGACAACGAGTTCGAAGCCAGTGACGACGATGAGATGGCTCAGGCGCATGGTGCTACGCGCCAGAATGGTAACAAGCGCACATTTACCGATTATCGCAAGGGGGAAATGGAAGTCGATAATGCCGATGCTCCTCCTGCCAAGGTAACTAACGGTGCTTCCGCTGACGAACCTGCTGAGGGGCAAGCTGGCGAGGATGCTCACGATGTCAATGACGATACTATCGACGACATCTCAGCCCCGGCCCCAGCCGAGAAGGAGGCTCCATCCAAGGAGAGCGAGAAGCCTGATGAGCCCGCCAAGGAACCTGAAGCTAGTAAAGTGGATGGAGACGGTGATGTTGGCATGGAGGACTCGGCGGCTCCAGAGGAGACAACAATCAAGAAGGAAGAGGTCGAGCCTGAGGCACCCACAGAGCCTTCAGCGCCTACCGAGAAGGCCTCAAAAGACGAGCCTGCTGCCCAAGAGGCTACTGATTCCACCACGAAGGAGCCTACCACAGAACCTAAAAGCACCGAAGAAACCTCAGATAAGCCTGCAGCAGCACCTGAGAAGGCTCAGAGCGAACAACCCGACGATGCTATGGACGTCGATACGGAGAAGGATAAGCCAGAGCCACCTGTCGAGAAGAGCAAGAGCCCTGTAAACTAGGGGCTTCTGGGCAAAGCTGTCTTGATTTCTTAAGAGATAATTTCACATTACAAGAAAAAGCTCATGCCACGTGCACCTTTGCATGGAAGTAACCCTCCTTACGACACTCAACAAGCAAGAAGGCGAAAGCTTTGCATGTGAAGGAAGCACGTGGTCTGCAGTCAGGCGTTCCGGGCGCAGGGATAAAGACGATATGAAGGGACAGGCATCGAATTGTACAAGAGGGAGGAATTTCAAGGCTCGATGACACATAATTGGGATGCTGTCTTTATTATGATGTTTGATGTTTGTACTGAGTAGTTAAGTCACTAAAGCGAGTGAATTTCTTTAAACACTACAAATCACGATATCCTGAGCATGAGTGACGTGGGTGAATCTCAATTTTATTGAAGCATGAGTCTTAGCAATGATAAGTCTTTTTGTTGGGGAGTGACGTCTTGTCTATTCCAACCAAGAAACTTTAAACTGAACACACACAACTCAGTTTCTCCCGTAACTCGACTGCTGCCCTCATGATTGCTCCTCATTTCTCTCCTACTCTCAATCTTCCCTCCACGGATTTGTCCTAAAGTCTACTTGGTCTCAACACGGACATCGGTCTGACTCTGCCGCAGACTTGTCCCGTCATCGTTCTCGGGTGACTCATCGGCCAAAGGCTCAGTTGAACTCGGTGGAAGACCCATTGTCTGTGGGTGATTGTGCAGCGAACACATCATGTTCAGGAATGCTTCGTCTTGGCTCCACGGACAGTGGCTCTTCAGAAAGTTGTAGCGTTCGATTGCTCTGGCGTGTGAGGCGAGCTCCTGGCTCAAGTGCGCGAATCTGTCGCATCTGACAGATGACTTTGCGGAAGAAGCATCCTCCTGTGTGCCTTTCTTTGTGCTTTGAGTGTTCGTTTCATTTGCTGAGGTGTCGTCGCTTGAAGTGCCGCTCTTTGAAGCGTCATCATTCGAGATACCTCGATTGTGGTCTCCAAACATGTGGTCAAACTCGGCCATAAAAGCTGCGACTTCTTGATCGATTTCTTCTCTTTCGGCAGCTGAAAGCATTTTGAGGATACTTTGTTGTAGATTATGCTCAAGGGATTCGTTCATTTAATACTAAATTTGGGTTGGCTTAATGTTGCGGTTCGTGAACTTCGACAGTGATGATATAGTTGGAAAGTGTCAACGACGTAATGTTTTCGAGGAAAGAGATGAGATTTTTCGATAGTGAAGAAGAAAGGGACAACTCCCGATATATAGTCGAGTTGTTAAACTTTCTATGTCGAGGTTCTTATGATGAGTTGATACGACCTTTCACGATCCTAGAGTTTATTTCTGAGATGATGGAAGCCTAAACCTTCACATCGAGTGGCATTTTCGCGGCCGTGGCGAGTTTTCTCAATAGTTAAAATACAGTCAATATCGAACTTCATGGTGTATTGTTAATGCCTTGGTATTATGTTGCTTTACTATACAGTCAGGCCTTTAGTCAGTCTCATTTGTTGGACATAGAAGAGTGTGTGTTTAGGAGACAAGCAGAATGTACAAATGGAACTTATATAGAGAGGTAGATGCGACCATAAAGTGAGCGGTATGATGATCTCGGTGACCCGTATGTGTCATGGCCTATTTAGGAAGAAACATGAGCCATAGATGCATGGTGTATGGATGGTTTCTGGCTTGAATCATGCCTCAGGTTAAGACTCTGAACGATATCACACAGCTTTAGATCAGATTTCACATGATTCATATAAGCCTAACTGAAAGACCCTCAGATTATAGCATAAAACTATAATATCAGACACAGGTCAGCTCACAACTTCAGAGGTATTCAAACTCTCATGACAATGAAGCTCTAGGGTGGCTGATGGTAGTATTCACAGATGGTGGGGGACCGGGACGTTGATAAGATACCCCACATTCCGCATGCACTGCCGACATTCCGCCGGGTCGACTCACAGGGAAGGTGGAACCTAAAACCTATTGTTCAGTAATAAGGTAGCAGGGTAGGGGACGAGCTACACTTTAGCGTCGACTGCGGGGGACTCAAAAATAATTATTTCCAACCTAACCCAGCCGCTTCTACTTCAAGAAGCCCATCGTCATCCGTCTTCTTTCTCACATTCTCTTACTCGCCACTCGCTATTTTATGTCAATGTAGCATCAAATATAATCAGATCTTTGACTCTTCTTACCAAATCCTCCCTCCTACGACAATTCTATTCCTCTTGTCGCATCCTCGCTTGACTCACAATGCCCACCCCCGCGCCCGCCGAGGGCGACGCCGCGACGGCCAAGCTCGGCGTCTGGAAGCAGGCCCTCTACGATCGATGTCGCGAGTCTGGGACCGACATGTTCTCCCAGGATGACCTTTTGCGCCTCGACGTCATTCCCAACAGAGACCTCATGCTGCTCGCCCGTGTCGTTCAATCCCTCACAGATGACAAGCTTTTCATCACCATGCGCGAGGCCTCGGGCCAAGTGCTATGGAAATGGCGCGACTCTGAAGAAGCCCACAAGTGCGTAGAAATACCTCTGGAACACTCCATCAAGCCCGTGGCTGACAATTGGCTAGGTACAAGCAGTGCTCGACCGACGAACAGGTCATGGTCTACTCTCTCATCGACGACTCGGGCGGCGACGGTATCTGGTCGCAGACGCTACAGAAGCGACTGAACATGCACGACTCGGTCCTCAAGAACGCACTCAAGCAGCTCCAGGCAAAGGGTCTAATTGCGCCCTTCAAGAATGTCGAACACCCGAACAAAAAGATGTTCATCAAGGCCTCCATACGGCCTAGCGACAGAGCCACCGGCGGCCCGTGGTACACCGATCAGAACTTTGATGAGGCCTTTATCGAAGACCTGCAGCGAGTTGTATATGATTTTATCAAGCGTCAGAGCAGCTATCACAGCACACACGGGGGAGGTGCTGCGCGGACGCAAGTTCCCAAGAAAGGTGTCGTGAAAGGTGGCGTGGAAAGGGGCAAGAAGCGAGATGCTAGTCACATAGATGAGCCCCCAGCGAAAGCCACCAAGATATCTCCTACGGCGGCCGTCAAAAAGGACGCCCTACTTCCTCTGCCTGCTGGATACACAGGCTATCCGACCGTACGCGACATCGCTCGTCTCCTCTCATCAAGCGGCATCACCCACAACACCATCCTTTCCGAGCACGATGTACAGAAGCTTGTCGACGTACTTGTCTGGGACAACCTCATCGAGTCGGTCAAAGTTGCTGGAAAGATTGGCTACCGCGTATCTCGCATCGCCAAGCAGTCTTTAGAAAGCTGGGCTGGTCGAGATGATCCTACTGGCCGTGAAGGCGGTCCCGAGCCTATCATCAGTGCCTTCACCGAAGCTCCCTGTGGACGTTGTCCCGTGTTCGAGATCTGCGAAGAGGGCGGTCCTGTAGGCCCCAATAACTGTGAATATTTCAAAAGGTGGTTGGGCGTTGAATAGAGCATGAGTGCAGATTTTGCATGTCGATACGATAAGTATGGGTCACTGATACCTGCATTTTTCTGACGGAGAACGGAGTTATGGTCTGGAAGAAGGCTTTTTGTATATAGGGATAACAGCAAAGGCGTAGAAGGACAAGCGAAGGCCATTTAGAATGCAGCCAAGCGCAATGGTCGCAGCGATCATCAATCAATTTTACCAAGTAGAGCTCTAGAATGAGCTGTCCGGCGGTATTTCAAGAATCAATCATTCACATCATGATAGTATCAAATGGAAATGCGTGTGGGGTTAAATGGTTGACATTGCTCATCAGCTAAGCTAGTCTTTTATGCCAGCTTGCGAAAATCCAGCTATTTATGCTAGTCCTCATTCAGTTTTGTAATGTGCTCCCAAATCCCATCCCGTTGTCTTGTCCTTAATAGGAGCTTTTTACAGCTCACCAGAGTCGACAATGGTGGCACGCTTCTGGTACTTGACAGCACCGCTGCCGGAGCCGGTAGCCTCAAGAGCTCTGACAACGTTCATGGACTCCTCGTCAGCGACCTCGCCGAAAACGACGTGGCGACCGTTGAGCCAAGAGGTAACAACAGTGGTGATGAAGAACTGGGAGCCGTTGCTGGGAACATTGTTAGTCTAATTGAATATGTAGTCAGGAGTGAAATTGCTTACGTGTTGGGACCAGCGTTGGCCATGGACAACAGACCGGGGCGGTCGTGGGTGAGCTTGAAGTTCTCGTCGGCGAACTTCTCACCATAGATGGACTTGCCACCAGTGCCCTTGATCGTGTTAGTATGCGCATGGGAGGTTTAGGGTGACAGAAACGTACGTTGCCACGGGTGAAGTCACCACCCTGGAGCATGAAGTCGGGGATGATTCGGTGGAAAGAAGAACCCTTGTAGCCGAAACCCTTCTCGCCAGTGCAGAGAGCACGGAAGTTCTCAGCGGTCTTGGGGACCTCCTTGTCGTAGAGGTTGAAGTTGATGCGACCACGCTGGCCTGGAGAGAAGGAATGTTAGCATTGATGCAACAGCAAGCGGAGCTCAAGCAGAGAACTGATGATGCGAGGTGATGACGAATGCTATGGATGTAGATCCAAATGCCGCAAACATCAGACCATCGTGCATCTCTCGAGGTATCGAGCCGAAGGGTAGGATAGCTGCATCTGCAGCTTGCCGTCTCGGATCGTTGAGGATAATGGCATCGGGGAGGAATCAACAACTTACTCTGAACGGTGGAGGTTGGCTTGCCGTTCTGGAAGACGGGGCCCTCCCACTCAATATCGAAGAAACTGATCAGAGTTAGCAGATGGCGACATCAATGCGATGATTGACAGGGCATGAGATGACTTACACCTTGTTACCCATGACTGCGGATGAAGCTGAGAAGAATCTAACGGATTTGATTGTGTTGGAGAGTTGAGGAAGAGAAGAAGAAGTTCTCGCTGCAGAGAAGCAGTTATGGCGGGGTAGGAGGGGCTTGAAGAGGGAGGGTCTCATTTTGAGGAAGCTGGAGGGGCAAAGCGTTAGCGTGGGCCGTTGAAGCCAATCGAAGCGCGTAGAAAGTGTGAAAGAGTGGAGCAGTTGATCGAGAGGCGATCACGTGAAGTGATCCTGAGAGCTTCCTCTCGCTGTTTTGGCTGTTGCAGTTGTACCTAGAGAGCCCGCTAGGCCATGAGGTCACCGTGGTGGCTATGGCCACAGTGGGGCGGGGGAGGGGGAGCTTTGCAACAGCTAAGGTTCTGGCTCTGTTGATCAATGATGAATCCATCAATCAATACAGCAAGCGAGAGCTGACGAGCATGGCATGGCATAGCTCTGACCGCCATTACCTACAGCCATGCCATGCTATGCCATGCCAGACATTGCAAATAGCGCAAGCACGCGCATTGAGAAACAACAAGACCACATTGGACTGTGCTGTGGACTCAATGGCTGGCTCTGGCTCGCTCGCCCTACCCGTCAAAGCTTCAAAGGGGCTATCCTTGGAGCTGATGGAGGTTGTCCGGGCCACGTCAAGCAGGCAACGTATCGTATCGTGCTGGACTCACACACTCCTCTCTGGTCTGTCTGGCTGCAGCAAGTCTTGTATGTACTTGACTGTACATAGTACTTGGCCCCTCAAACCACCAGTCCAGAAAGTCGCGTCGAGTCAGTGGCCCGATACGCCCGAAGTGCAGCAGACTTTTGCCAAAGCATCACCCCCATTGGAGGGGACATGGGATACGGCCACCCCGGTGGATTGCATGGGCCCTCCACCTCGAGTCTCATGTAATGTACCAGTATCCAGTCCATTAATCAACCCGTGGGCAGAAGTGACCATTCCAATGCATTTTGAACAGTCAGACGCCGGGAAAAGAAGCTCCCCTCCCTCCGCAGGACCGGGGGGCGACCAAGACCAGCACCAGGCAAGCTCAAGCTGGCAGTGAGGAACAAAGGCGAGAAGAAGCCGACAATACCGGTATTGGGCCGATCAGCTGGCTTTTCCAAGATCCCAATCCGGGTCAGAATAATACCATTGATCCAAGAGAGGTGCTCAGATGGGCCAATGTTTGCCTCAAAGGCGTCATGCTTCTCTCCCCTCTGTAGCGTGCACTACAGCTTGAGAGCTTGCCCAGAGCTCTCTGTGGTAGAACAAAGGCAAACGCGGCAGGGGAAACAATTGAACTTGCACGTACCTTGAAGACTAATACGCTTGGGGAATTGGCTTGATAGTACAGAAGATGTAGATTTAGATAGATAGAATTACAGAAAACTGGTGATGTACGTGCTGAGGTTGGTCTTTTGGACTGATCTCGAGAAAGGGAAGATAAAAGTTTGGACCAGCTTGACGTCTGGTATCCAATTCTAGCGCCGTGACTGGCCCTCTAGGGCCCTCTTCAGGCCTGAAGTCTAAGGTTGTATGGCGGGGACTAGAGGTTTCCATCCATGAATGTTTCCAGATGAGTTAAAGTGTCTGCTACTGGGTAGAAGCTCGGTTTCTGGCTCTGAAACTGTAACATATGCCAATTAGAGCACAGGAGATGGACCGGAAATTCAATTGTATTTTCAGATCAGTGTTGCAGGCCCTGAATGAATGTTCAACTCCATAACCTCTATATCCTCATACAGGAATGTTGATAGCATCACGTGATTAGCCATGATCCATGCTGACGTTGGGCTCTGGGAAATGTCCAAGTGTCCACCATGGCAATAGCGCAGCAAGGGGCATCTTGAACTCCAGATACTCCGTTCAATTCCATTACGAATCCCTTCAGGAGCATCATCAACGGCTCCGCGTCTTCTGCGCTCATCCTTCGACTTTTCTGCTGGCTTTCATCTTCTTGGACTAATTCACCATGGATATTAACGATTTGAAGAACACAGTCTCCAACCTGACCTTGTATGACCTCAAGGCAGGCTTTCGGAAGGCCCAGAATGGTACCCCCTTTTAGCGATCACCTAATGCGCGTCATAAGTTACTGACGATGTCCAGCCGTTATGAACTTTACCGAGATGGAGGCCAAGGTTGGTTGAGCTCTGCGCGACAACAGACCCGGACATCGTCGACTTACCCATCTTCAGGTGCGAGAAGCAACGAATAACGAGCCATGGGGTGCTTCATCGACACTCATGCAAGAGATTGCCAATGGAACATTCAATTAGTACGCTCGCCGCAATATTGAGCAATATCCAAGACCAACTGTTGACTGTGAGCCAGCCAAACCCTTAACGAGATTATGCCCATGATCTACCGTCGCTTCACCGAGAAGGCTGCCGAGGAGTGGCGTCAAATCTACAAGGCCCTCCAATTACTCGAGTTTCTTATCAAGCACGGTTCCGAGCGCGTTATCGACGATGCTAGAGGACACATCTCGCTTCTTAAGATGCTGCGCCAATTTCACTTTATCGATCAGAACGGAAAAGACCAGGGCATCAACGTGCGCAACCGAGCCAAGGAGTTGGCCGATCTTCTTAGTGACGTGGATCGCATCCGGACCGAGCGCAAGAAGGCGCGTGCAACCAAGAACAAGTACACCGGAGTTGAGGGTGGTGCGACCTTTGGAGGTGGCTTCTCAAGTGGCAGCTCTGGTCGTTATGGTGGTTTTGGCAGTGAGAGTGCTGGCTACGGCGGTGGTGGTAGCAGCGGCGGCCCTGGCAACTACGGCGGATACTCTGGTGGTGTCTATGGCGATGGTGGTGGTTTCGGAGGTCAGTCTGATGACTGGCGAGGTGATGGCGCTGCCAGCCGATCCGAGCGATTTGAGGAATACGATGAGTTCGACGAGGGCGAGAGACCAGCTGTCAGCTCATCAAGAGCTGCTGCTAAGCGACCCGAGCGCACTCCTGTCAAGAAGGCCGCTGAGCCTCCCAAGAAGAAGGAACCCGAGGTTGATCTCTTCTCTTTCGATGACCCTGCTCCAGCATCGTCTGCAGCACCAGCTTTGGCCCCAAGCAACACTGCCGCCGCTCCTGCGCAAGACGACGACGACGAGTTCGACGACTTCCAGTCAGCTACCCCTGCCCAGGCAGCACCATCCAACAACTTTATGCAAAGCCCTGCTGTGACAGCGACGGCCTCCTCAACCGCCCAGTTTGTTGCTCCCCAACCTCAATCGGCTCCTCAGCAAGCTGACATTAGCCACATGGTTAGCATGGCGTCCATCTCGCCTGCACCAAGTGCCTCAGGAACTCCCGGGCCCAACTACTCTGCCTTTAGTATCCCTGCTGCCCCTGCGGCACAGGCTCCCAAGCCTGCTGCCTTCCAACAGACTGGACCCAACTACTTCAGCTCTGTCCAAGCACAGACAGCAAAGACCCCAACAACATCTGCCTTCTCAGGCATGGGAAGCGCCTCTAGCGCTGCGCCCAGCGGCCCTACTACTATGGCTAACATGAAGCCCGTTACTAGCCCATCAGCCAAGCCAGCGCCCGCTGCTGGTGGAGATGCCTTTGGAGCTCTCTGGGGCAAGGCCAGTGGAGGCGTCAAGAAGCCAGAGACACCCAAGACTGGACCCGCAATGGGCCAACTTGCCAAGGAGAAGAGCAGTGCTGGAATCTGGGGAGCCCCAGCAGCTCCATCTTCCAGCGGCAGTGCTCCTCCCAAGACCGGCGGATCTGCTATGGATGATCTCCTTGGTTAAGCTTATGTGCTGAAATCTATCTTGAGAATGGTGGATCATAACCTGGAACTGAGACGACGGCTGGGGCACTAATGCCTCTGCTGATTGAGCGGGCTTGAGAATGTACAGAATAATAAGCAGTGGGACAGCATGTTTGTATTCATGATAGGATCCTAGATAGGCGTCTGGCGCAACAAAATGAACTGACATGTCATGTCGCTCTATTTTCAGCCAACTTGAACTTGGCCTGGCTGGCCCCTGTGGTAGGCCACCAGCATTAGATCGATTATGCTGTGTCAGGTGAAAAGTAACCAACGATGGATTCACGTCGATCATTGTGAACCACACAAGATCAGATCAACAGCCGAGATCGATCCTGGACCGGATCAGTTGCTGTTGCAGTAGGACGACTATCCCGGAATAACTTGCAACAGTGGACTCATAATCTTCACCCACGCAATCTCGCCGTGTATGCGACCTCATTCTAAACAAAGGAGCCTCATCCGGGCCAACGAACCGTATTTCCCCAAGAACGACTCTCACCCAATCATGACCATGTCGATGTTTTCTGAAACACCAGCCGCTCTCTCCCCTGCGCGGCTATTGCTATTCATCCAACATCCCTGCTCGTCTAAGCGCCGCCACAACGTTAAGCCTCTGAAGCCTCATTGGCCGACGAAACCCAACGCCCAGGAACAGCAAGAGAATTGCTGTATCATGTTGTTGAACCGGCAGGGTTGAGATGATCGTCTGTGGGAGAGCGTGAAGCGCGATGGCGGCTGGTAGCAGGCGGTTGCTGTAATTGGAAACGAGGCTAGACAAGGTACTACCCATGAACTGAGTGTGTTATTCTTGTATCTTGGAAAGGTTTGTTGACTTTGGATTTGTGTATAAAGACACGGAGTATCGGGCTGGTTGAGATATCCTTTTCTCTTCATCAAACAACTCCAACAGCAAACACTCCAATTTCTCTCTCTTTTCCTTTTGTCTCATTTCCTTAGTTTCCTTTGTCCTCTCTTGGGTTTTTCTTCTTACTCACGACCAGACGAATCTCATAACGAATTCCTTTCTTTCTTTTACAAGTCCATCTCTCGCCTCTTCTTTGGGCGGGCCATTCACTTAGACAAAATAACTTCCTCAGCCCCCTCCATCCCTTTCTACGCCAAAAACTTTCCTTTGCGCACAGCTGGCTCGTCGCGCCCTCGTCTCTCTCTAGACACAGAATCTGTTGGAGCCCTCAAGCCCAAGATGCAGCCTGCTCTCGGAGCCCTCGGGCACACCTGGACTGCCATGCGAGCCATGGAGTTCATCTCTCTGATCACCATCATCGGATTGACTGCCAACTTCATTGGTGAGATGGTCAACGCTGATTATGCGGCGCCTTCTGCCTTGATTGGAACACTGGTTGTTGTAAGTTGGCTTGTATATGTGGTGTGATCGAAGAGTGGTAGACTAACATGGTATAGGCTTGCATCTCAACCCTTTACATCGCCATCTCTTACATCCTCTACTGGGATGGCATGCTTCCTCTCCTCCTCTCGACTGGTGCTGATATCATGCTTCTCGTCGCATGCATCGTAGTCGCCTGCACTGTCGGCAAGCCCGTCAGTTACCTCTCATGCCCCAAGTTTCCATCAGACGGCAACACAGCCAACTTTATCAACTCCCTCTTCCACAACGTCTACCACTCCCGTGGCAACACTTTCGCCTGGGTCGACCCTGACAAGGCTTCGTGCTACCAGATCAAGTCCATCTGGGGCCTCAGCATTGCACTCTGCGTGCTGTTCGCCTTCTCTGCCATCACCTCCGGATGCCTCTGGAAGCGAACAAAGGGTACCTCTCGCCCTGCCCCCAAGGACATCGAGGGTTGAGGGTGCGGCCGTGAGGGGCAGGTCAACGCCCTGGGCATCAGTCTAGGACCGCATGTGATGGCCCAGGAGCGAAGTCTGGGGACCATGGCCATGGCGAAGCGGTTCGACAGCGACTCTTCTGATGCTGAGAGCGCACGCCAGCCGTGGTGTCCCCCGCCCCCCACGGCGCCTGTCCGAGTAAAGAGAAAGGAAGTGCCACAGCCTCTGCAACATCTTCCTCCTTTGCCTCCAGTTCCGGTATCACCAGGACGTATGAACGATAGTGGGCCGAAAAGTCCTCTCGAGAGGGTCTGGTCGAAGCGCAAGACCCTGCTAGAGCGAGTAGAGGGTTGGTGGGATCTTGATCTGCTCGAGAAGAGACAGACACTCTTCGGCGGGAAAAGAGTTCAGGGGTAATCGTGTTTTTGGAATATAATAGATTGGACGGTTTGCTTTGCTTTTCGGATTATGGAAATGAGTGTTTGGGAACACCTGGGTAATGTCTACTGGTTAGATCGGCTTCATCATCAGAAAATGAATAAAAACGGGATTTGGGTCAACATAGATTGTTCAACCATCAACCGTTGTATCAACATACCTTGTGATCTATGACGCCTGGCCATAATAACCGTTGCTGACAGAATACGAGACAGATAAACACAAAAGGTTTGAAGACGAGGCTGAGTATAGAAGCTAGGTGCCGCCTCGAAAGAGTTGTCTCGAATTGTAGTAAGAGGTGACACTTGGGAATAAGACACGAAAAGCCAATTCATATATGTTCCTCCGCAAATGACGAAAATGAAGTGAGTCCCTTTCACAGTAGAAATTGAGGCAAAGAAATATTCATATCCTGAACAAATTAACGAACTCACTCCCAAGGGTATCAAATCAGCAAAACTCCGTGTCCTAGAATCTGAAGACACTTGGCCACATCCCAACTCTCATCAATCTGATCTCGCCTCGCCCACACCTTCTCCATAACTTCAAGCGCCTCTCTGATGGTGCCGAACACACTGACCGGGCCCAGACGCTCCACCATTGCGCGATACTTATCCTCGTCTTCAGGGGGCGAAAGGCAACCTGCGATACAAAAGGGCCACACTAGAGTTCGGAGGCAGACGTTGGTTGGAAGGGTCGTAAGGAGTTCTGTCATACGGGAAACGGAGGTTTGGATCTCTGGGCAAGACGGTTGCCAGCCGGATATGACGACGTGAAGGTATGTGAGCGCTGCTTGGAGCCAGATCATGTTATTGACCGCAAGGCCAGGGGCTTGTTTGGTATCAACACCGTAGCCGTAATTTTGAGTAGGATTTGCCACAACGCTTATCACGGGATCGAAGAAGGGGCCCGATGTTTGGATCTGCGCTTCAATTACACTGAGTCCCCCCTTGATGGCGTCTTCCATGATTTTGCCTCGCTGAACCAACTCATTTATTGATAACGAGTTCTTTTTCTTCTGGTCCTTCTTCCAAGCATCGAGTGCCGCAATGTCACCAATGATCTGCACAACCCAGTTGTTGAGACCAACATAATCTTCCATGAAGAGTGAGCCCGAGATCCGAACTTCATGTGGGTTGGTGTAAGTTTTGCAACTGGGCATAATGTTATCTTGGTACTTCTGAAGGCGTGGCGCCTGCTCGAGTGTAATGCTGGATATGACATCGATGTAGAGGACATTGGCTGTAAAGAAGCGAAGGGCAGCTTGATTAGTGCTGAAGGGTCTTCGGATACCCATCTCTGGCGGTGGCCAACGGTAGCTGTAGAGAGCCTCCAATGTCTCGCCCCATTTCTCTGACTGCGGGAGGATTTGTTGGAACATGGTAATAGCGGCATCGAGGTGCATCTTCCAGTGGTCCTTGTTACTCGTTGAAACCTCAAAGATGAGCATCTGTAGGATAGCTTGTAGAACAAGGAGACGATCTCGGACGCCGGCACAGGAGACCTTGTGGTTGACAGCGGTCATCTCACGCTGCAGTTCCCTCAGACCCATCTCAAGTTGAGACTGCAATTGATGAACCATTCGGTTTGTGCACTCCTGATGCTCGACTGCGCCATTGGCCATGACTATGCTGAAGAAGTACGAAGTAAGGGACACAGCTGTATGCCAGACGGACTTGTTGCTTTGGAGCACGTCGAGTACCCAGCCACGACCGCCGGCCAAGATGGGAGGGCGGTAGAAGGGAAAGAGATAAGGGAAGACGTAGTCGAGGTAGATCATGATGAAGTGAATCTCGGTACTGGCGCCAGTTGAGCTGCTGGAATCTTCAGTCGGGACAGAGAAGTGACTGTGCCATGGCATATCAGGGGGCGAGGCACCGCTGGTGTTGCTAGAAGCAGGCGTCGATCCAAACTCATGGCCCGAAGCAGGATCCGTGTCGGATGCAGCGGACATGGCAGCGTCATGAGGCTGCTGTTGGCTTTGGCCCTCATTCTGGAGTGTAACATTGCGAGTGCCGGCTTCAAGCATCTCCATATACTTGCGATCGCGACGCTGACTGGCCTGCTTCTTGACCTGAGCCTTGATCTTCTCAGCCATGGCTTTCTGCTTTGGTCCACCGTCCATCCATTCTGGCTTTTCCTCATCAAAGAAACAACTGATCTCAAGGGCGCCACACGCATCACAGACAGGACGCTTCTCATCGCATTTCTTGCGCCGGAGACGACAGGTCCAGCAGCCTGCGTTGGAGCGCACCTTTGAGGACATGAGATGGCGAAACATGATGGCTGGGTAGATGGACCCCTGAGCCTGAGCCTGAGCCTGAGCCTCTGTAGTAAAGATTTGATGGAAGAGCAGTCAGTCCGGTATAAGTAAGTGAGTCGTGGTGGTGCTGAAGATGGAAATGGAGATGGAGATGGGAGTGTGATTAATAAAGCTGTTGCATTTGATCAAAGTTGCGAGTTAGGTCGAGACTCGAACGGGGGCTTCTCAATTGGGTTAGTAGGACAACCCCCATGTTGAGGATCGACAGGTTAACGCCAATCGAAATTGGGGGACATCCACTTCCTTGCCAAGATAATTTGTCAGCCAATTCTGTTTCTATGTATCTCGATCAGACTACATCTTTGGTTGATAACTGGCAGACAAGAACCTCAGAGAGTAAGAAAACTCAAGCCTCGAGACATAGGGTATCGAGATAAACTTAGCAAAGGGTCCCCTAAACTCATCTTGAATTATATTAGCTTACCTAAATATCCTTTTTGTCATTTAGAGTCTAGCTCCTGAGTTTTCTTTCCTCCCCTCGATGAAACAGGAGACGTAAATGTCTCGTTTAGTTTAGTAGAATGGGAGACTACCATCAACAAGACACCGGTGTCCAAGATCAAGCCAAGAAGGCCTCTTGGCAGGCCATTGTCGACATACACCTAAAGCTCTGACTAGCCGCAGCGAACCGGGCCTCGAGGAGCAAGAAAACATCAGACCTTGATCCTAAATGAGAAAAGAGACTTTTATTAACTTAGTATAAGTTTAGGATACCTTTGCTCAGTTTAGGATACCTTTGCTCAGTTTAGGATACCTTTGCACAGTCACGTCAACACATATTGATACAATCAGACCCTGTTATTATATGCTAATAGCCTAATATCAAGTATAAAGAATGCGCCATAACCCGCACGCACGCACGCACGCCCGCCCGTCTCCTCTACCAGCTTGAAAACAAGCAAATATCGAGCTTCCTCCAACCTTTTTTTGCCCAAGTCTTTGACCAATCCCACATTCCCTAAACATCACAACAAACCCCAGGCTGCTGGAACACACGCTGATAAGCATTTGGTTTGTTAGTTTCGGTCTGGGGATCGCGCCCAAAGATAACGCAGCCAAGGTAATGGCCGACTATGATACAGAGAATGACGTAACCATTAAAGGAAACAGCCATCAGTATGAGGCCATAGGCAATGGTCACCTGTAACACGTACAATAAAGACCGGATCAAGGCATGCTCAACGCGGCGATGGAAAAAAGGGGGAACGCGGTTATTGGGGCCAATAGCGGAAGCAGGACGACCAGCCACAGGTTGAGCATCAGCGGGTTGAGCAGATCGAGCGGATTGAGCAGATCGAGCGGATTGAGCAGATCGAGCGGATTGATCATCCGCAGATTGAGCATCAGCGGGTTGAGGACCGGCGGATTGGGCAGGAACAGGCTGAGCGGCAACGGGTTGAAGGGGGCCAAGTTCAATAGCAGGAAATTCTCGAGGATCGCCGACGTCTCTGGCGAATGTGTGGCGGTCCCATTCTCTAGAGACACGGCGTACGAATTCAAATAGCAATGCCACACCGAAGGCGCCAAAGCAGGTCAAGGCGAATAAGGCTGCGGAACTTATGTACCACCCCTCAGAAATAAAGCAGGCACCAATAGTGTTCCAGTTCCAGAGCATCTGTGGGAGGTGTTATCAGCTGTGATGCTCGAGGTGAAATTGATGAGAAAAGGATGGAATAACTTACGTTGTTTCTCAAGCAGGATTCAAACTCCTCCAACCTGGAGGCGGCGAGGGTAGTTGTAGAAGCTGGATGCATTGTAACGGAGGGAATAATGTTGCAAAGCTATAGCAAAGTGATGAAGTTTTGTTTGATGATCTCTTGATGAAAGTTTGATTGTTGAAGCAAGTGGATGATGATGGAGGAGAAAAACAAGGTCAAGATTCGAAAGGACGGTAGGTAAGGTAAGGTAACCTGCCTTCCCCTGGGCATCACCACAGTCATCTACAATCGCCTTTAGTCACACCTTCCACAAAACCCGACGACATGAATGCAGTGTTTTGAGGAGATGACGACGGGAGTCAGGAGAGAGGCAGCTTGGCATACCTACCTGCCTTACCTAGGTACCTAAATGTAAACGAGTTACGTACCATGGGCTCAAGACTTTGATGCAAGGATCGTGACTGTGTTGCGATTTAGGGGGGACAGGCGTTTATATCACGCCGAGATTCATTGGTAGAACTAGGTACCTAGGTAGGTAGGCTAGGAGATGAAAGAAAACTCAAGACCTCGATCCCAAGTGATAAAAAGACTCAGGTAAATTTACATAAATTTAGGATACTATTATTAAGTTTAGGATATCTTTTGCTGAGTTTATTTTAATACCCTTTATTAAGGTCTAGTGTTTTCTTGCTCTTGGAGGCTAGGGTCAAGGATGGTTACAAGGACCAGCCAGTTCGTCAATAACTTTATTTCAACGTTCGTCGTCGTTTTTAGTGGATGAGAGACATGTGAAAGCTTGGCAGTCTTCATTGCACGATTGGACGTCTGCACCATTAACTTGATATCTACAAGAAAAGACACGAACAAGTATCGAGATGGTGTGAGATATATGCAGTAAAGACTGTCCATGCTCCTCTTGTGAAGGATGGGCACGGATAAATATCAAACATCCTCAACACCACATAATTACATAACTACCAGCTCACAAGATCATCTTGGAGTTGGAGCTTCGTGCAACAACGCCAACGGACCCCTCGCCATTAGTGGCCAAGGCAACCTTGGTAGGTATGCAATGTTGTAAATGATGGCGTCATTTGACACTGCAGCCTGACACTTGTGCCGGCCGATTCAAGTCCCTTCGCCCGCCCCTGAGGCATCAACACTCTTCCACCAGATTCTACGTAATGCTCGTAACCCCGGGAGACGGACTGGCAGTAAACAATGGAAGAGTGTCTGACTACGGTGCATGAAGGGTTTGTGAATTATTGATTTGTGGTTGCACAATGCTCGAGTGTTTGCCCTGCCCTAAGCTTCCCACCAAACGAGCTCACCAGTGGAATAAACAATGACTGCGGGCTCGATGCATTTGTTCTTGGGTGGTCAGGAGTGAGATTGGTGAGAGTATGGGAGGGAGAGTGTACATGAATGGATTTGCCTAGTAAAACACGCCTAGATTGGGCTTGCTACACTGAGGTGTCCACGGGAAAAGGACTGACGACACTGCTCAATTTTAGACTTCAAGCGCACTGAGCGGTGACTCAAAAAAATCAATCACATTAAGCAAATTCTAAGGAACGTAGGGATATAGAGATGAAGGCATTCACGTCAGAGATGGTCAAGTTTGGGTCTAGTTGATGTATTGTGCGTGTCTCGAAGAGGCAGCCTCGTTAAAACCGCTTCATCTACTGTACTACTGGCCCCAGTTCAATGTCGTAACCGTCATCCGCGACTCCCAACTCCCGAGACCCTTCGCTATTGTGACTGTCGTAAACTCATGAATTCGTTGGTTGTCTAGGAATGGTCGATTTAGATTTGGTTGCTTGTCTGGGTCCCATCCCAGATCCCACCGCCATCTTGGGCAGCAGCAGCCTTTTGCTTCTCGTGGAGCTCCCGAGCCTCTTCGACCGAGACACCGAACTGAGTTGTCTGGGGCAACATGTGAGCACCATAAACCGAGCGCCGGGCGGCCACCATCACGTCCATCGAGCGCTCGATTTTGTGCTCGGTTCCGTCACTGCTCAAACATGGGTTAGTTCCATCATGGGTGGACGACGAGGAGAGTCGAAGATGAACTTACACTCGCTGGACCTGGGCGAGTCGCTCCTCGTGAGCGACGTTGGCGGCAGCGGTAGTAGCGGCGGCATCCTTTGCCAGGAGGCGACGGACCTTGATCTTCGCAAAAAACTTGCGTACCTTAAACTTGATCTTGGCGACTTTGCCCATGATGAATGCGATTCAGGACACAGAGGGAATGCTGAGGGCAAATGTGAGATGCTGGAAGGGGAGACAAAGGAGCGTGAAGTGAAGTGACCCGAAGGGAAACAACACAAAGAGAAGGGAGACATACCTTGGAAGAAGAGCAAATGTAACTGTGAGAGCAAAGTGACTCTAGGT